GGAGTATTATTTCAGTATTACTGATTTTGAAAAATCAACAAAGCGTAAAGTGATACACGATCGCGATTTCGCGAAGAGATAAAATGCACGACAAAGGGAAAGAATGAGAGAGAAAGAAAAAGCAAATTAGTTAATATTTCAAAGCAATTTTAAACACCGCGGTTCTCGAGAGATCACTGCGCGCATTTAACGTTGAACATGCTCGCTTTCATTACCGTCTCATTATCATGCAAACAAATAGGATCCGGAATGAGAGAGGATCGCGTTACAAAACGGATAACCGGTAAACCGATAATATGGTAAAGTTTCGCAATTCGTTACTCTATAATACAGAAATATAATTCTGTCCGTACTCGAAACAAGATTTGCTCGACTCTTATGCGCGCATTCTCGAAGAATCCAAGTTAGAAGGATTCAACTGCGGGAAATAAGGAGCGTTATAGGTGTAGGATAGAGAAAAATGGCACAAAGGCGTTGTAATGTTAATTGATTTCTGTTTTTGCGTCACGTTGAACGTGTTACGCTACGATATATATATATATATATATATATATATATATATATATATTATAAAAGTATATATATACATCTCTACACAGCACACATACACACATACATACATGTACACGCACGTATACACGACAGACACGATGTGGAGTGCATGAAAGTCCTTGTATGAGAATGTACGTGATACATAAGTATCTCTATATGTGACGCGGGCGTTTTATCACGCCTAAACATGTCAATAAAATTCACATTATAACGAAGCGCTCGTTAGATCGCTACCACAGCGATATGCATCACGACGCGATGTAGGGTATGTTCTTTTACAGCTACATCAAGTTACATTGTCTGTACTTAAAATAAAGTAGGCATATATTTGACACTCGCTGAAAGAAAGAGAAGACGATAGAGAGCTTACGAGAGATAGGTCGGAAAGTGCAGCTACAAAGAACAGACACCCGTACACGCGCGCATGTAACAAAGGGAAAATCTAAATGGCATTTGGACTCACCATATATGTCGCATTCCTGGCGAAGTATGCGAAGTTGCCCATCAAAGTTCCACCAGTCCTCCTCGTTCCGCATCTTTCCCGATTGCTCTCCACGCCCACGGTGAGAAAAGTGCGACGATCTCGAACGATGGCTGAAAAACGCACGAGAAAAATTAGGCCTCGGACGAGAGAGACTCAAAAAGTTGCATGATCGAACTGTCCAAACGGTTCCGAGGGAAAACACTCGGGTTTTCGGAGACGGACGACTCAAGTCGCGGAAATTCGCACCGGAGGGAAAATTAGAAAGAAAAGAAAAAGAAAACTGAAAACGCGACACGCTGATTTCGCAGTCACGGCGATTTTCCTCGTTCCGTCGCGCTACGTACTCGAGACGCGGTACAGGCGGATTTGCGTGAAAACCACGTGAGAATCCGACCGATTTGCGCAAACCTAAACCAATAGGTAAACGACATTGCTACTTTCTGCTGCTTGCTACATAATTATATATGTGCGATTAATTCACACATGCACATACACACATTCAAACAAACTTCAACACATAGTTCACACGCACATCCGCCTGTAGCCGGATGTTCGTCGTCGCGTAAACGCGACAAGACCGTGTTTGCATGCTCGGCGAACGATCACGCACCGAATCGTGATTACTCGTCGACTGGAGCTGGTCTCGACCGAGGAAATCGAGCCATAGTTCTTGCCCATCAGGCGGTACGATCGCGCGCCGTTTTTTTTTTTAAACACAGTGTGATAAGCAACTTATTAGATAAAACACAATGTGGTACGTTTTACGTAACATTGGTACGTTGTTGTAAATAATAAATAGATTGTACGTTGTACACAAGGTCTCCTTCTTTATATTCATATTTATCAAGTGAACATCAAGTAATAGTAACATTATAGCAGTATCATTTCCCACTCAACAATGCAATTATTGTACGCATGTATATATTATATCGCACATTTATACTGTTGAATGAGGAATTACAACATTGATGTAATGTTACTATTATTTAATGTTTACATGGGTTACATTGTACGTATCAAATAATTAGATTTTGACGCGATGTTCAGCCTTTCTCCTTTCGCAATTTTCTTTCTCTGCAGCAATTTGAACTCCGAACTTTACTATAATGAGTTCACGCGAAGAATACGAGAAATGTGCGTAAGTTTGCTCGATACTTTCGATAAACTGCTCCGCAACATGTTCGCTTTGATCTAACGGTACCTTAGTAGGACAAACGCGTGAAATTTACCTTCGATATTGTTGATGACGAATCGGATACGAGACTCTCTTTCGGTGAGGGAAAATCGCGGAAAAATATGTTGTAGCTTATTGAGGCCGCATTATCCGCGAGCCATTTTAGAACCGTTGTATGCAATATATTGTACGGTTGCGATTCTCGATGTATCAAATGTGCCAAACTTCACTCGAGACGCCCGATACCTCAATTTCAACTTACGGAACATTTCTTCAATGATATTTCGCCACGATGATGCGCGACAATCTTTTCCGACATTTCCGATAACAATACGCACGCGAGATTATTATTTGTTATTGGATTAAACGCGTAAAACGCAACGATCCGAACTTCGAACTTATACGACGCAACGAACGTAACCTAACTCGGCTCTCGTATCGCGAGATGTAAATTTTGTAGCTGTTTGACGATAATTCATTATAATTTTTACGACATTACTTTACGATCGTTACAACAAGCCTGTGAAACCATATGTTTGCGGCGTACTGGACAACAATAATTCATGACAAAAGTCCCACCTTCGACGAGCCGCAATTGTGGGAACTATCTCTACGGATTTTCGAATCGAAAAGGACGCGGTACGTTACTCGCTTTCGCATCAGCGCATAGGCACAACTTGAATTAACCAATGAGCATCGTGCTGACAAAGATATCCCTCCAATCCGGCTTGATCGGATTTATTTCACTCATTTATATCACTCAGATCATTTTTATTTAAGATTATTATAACATTTTGTACTATGAAAGAGTACTAATGCAACAAGAATTAATGTTTTTTTTTTCAAATCAAATTTTCTGCATCAATATAAAATGTATATACTAAAATTTACTTGTAAAAATAATGGGTCCGAAGATTACTAAACCTGTTATTTTTAAGGGTAATAAAAGATTCAATCTTCCATCGAAAAACTGTCCTCTCATTAAATATCGGACGTCATATGTCGTACGCCTTGCCCAGTATAAATCTTCCATAAATAAGAGTTTTGAAAATTATTGGACTCGTTATTTTACGAGACAATAGGTCTGTTCGCGTTGGTTACACTTTTGACACTTTTATACCTCATGCCCGTTATGCACACTAGCCTCTCTTTAGAAAAAAGAACTCTTAGGCCCAGTTCCACAACTTGCTTTAAACGGAGTTTAAAGCTAAACCGATGGTTAAAAGCAATAGTATATGCGCATATACTATTGCTTTTAATCATCGGTTTAGCTTTAAACTCCGTTTAAAGCAAGTTGTGGAACTGGGCCTTATTGGATGTCGTTCATTGCGTCCGATGTATAACGAGCGTTAGATATAAAAGTGTCAAAAGTGCAAGCAACGCGAACAAATCTAAAGCCAGCGGCACACGATGCTTGTTTTCGTGCTGGATTGCTTGCTGGATGAAAATACTGCGTTCTGATTGATGCATTTCCATCCATCTTCGGAAATGTACCAATCAGAACGCAGTATTTTCATCCAGCAAGCAATCCAGCACGAGAACAAGCACCGTGTGCCGCTGGCTTTAATAATGGGTCTATGGAATTAAGCTAAGACTCCATGCATGCGGTGAGCTGCGGCAAATGCTGCGATGACCAATCAGGAGGGAGGCGCAAGTCCGGTTGCGGCAAGCTCCGGCATGCGTCTGTCTCCTAATTGGTCACCGCAACCGTTTGCCGGAGCTCACCGCATGCATGGAGTCTTAGCTTTAAAGCCAGCGGCACACGGTGCTTGTTTTCGTGCTGGATTGCTTGCTGGATGAAAATACTGCGTTCTGATTGGTACATTTCCAAAGATGAATCAGAAAAGAGTCATGGACATTGCCATCGTAGTCATGTGCACGGTTGTACAGAGGGCGCCTCACACTGGGCTCGGCTAAAAGCGACCCATGCCACCTCTCCTTCTTCTCTCTGGTATAACTCAACAATAAAGGCTGCGTTCCGAAATGCCAGTACTGAAAATACATAGTTTGTGTCACGTATACTATAGATTTTCAATACTGGCAATGAATTTCGGAACGTAACCAAAGTTAACAGATTTTATTTTTCAAACACTACTATTCAACGACATACGTATTTATAAAAAAGTAGATTAATATATCTCGAAAAGGAAATATTAGGCTTTATTTTTATTTTCTGATAATTATCGTATATTGATTCTTTAATTCTTTATAAGCGATCAAAATTAGGACGCTTTTTACTTTGACGTTAAAAAATTCACAAAAATTTCATATCTGCAAATAAAAATTTTTGTTTTTAAAAGATATATATATATATATATAGATCTTGTTCATATAGAACCATTTATTTATGAATAACTTATCAAACTTTTTAAAAAGTTTTGGCATTTAATAGATCTTGATTTTTATTTCTGTAGCATCGTAAAAAATTAGTAAATATTACATCTAATAATATTTCTAAAAACTTGAGATTTTCAATTGTAAAATGCTTCTTGAACCACTTCATTATCCATTATTTTTGCCAAAGTTACAGCTCAATAAATTTTACCTATTTTTTGTCGTCGAGAAAAATATTTTTAATGTGCGTAGAAAGTGTAATAAAATATAGTCGATGTGTCATTTTTAATTATATACAAAGATTAGAAACGTTGCATTTTTTATTCTCCTCCTCCTTCATATTTTCATCAAAAATTATCCCATGTCTGCTTCAATTTTAATGCGCTGTTCCAGTTTATCCAAAGAGAACAAACCACCGACGACGGCACTGGTCGCATCTATCTATACATATACATCAATATATATGCATACCGTCCAACCGCCAAAGTGCCATCAAGGTGCGTCGAGCCGATATGCTGAATGAGATTGACGTTATGACCGGCAAGATTTCTGACAGCTGACAGCGGAACGGCTTGCCGACGATGCCAGGCGACGTGTCGCCCTGACCCTGAGCGTGACAGGAAAGAGTAGACATGCAAGGCATCTGCGTGAACATTCGCACGGCGATCGAACACGGACGTACTGACATTATCAGGTCGCTTTTGGACGCGTGTATGTATGACAAACACTGATATCCCGAATACGTAACTATGCGGAAAATGGTCTTTCTTTGTGTCAGAAAATACATGCAGAAATTTGTCTTAAAAATTTAGAACCAAAAATCACCAATATTAGTAGCGGCATTACCGAGTGTATTTGTTTAACTATTTATGTTGTTTTTCTTCCTGTAGGTGAAAATGGTAATACTACAGAGGGTATTACAAAAGATAAGATATTAAATCAACCGGTTCTGGAGGAAGGGACTTTTTTATCTTACGCATCCAAGGTCTGGAATATAAGTTTTTTTCATTACCAAATCTATTGAGTATTATTTTTCATTCTATTTTTTTTTTATTGGAGTATGTTGTTTTTACATTTAGACCAATCAGGCTGACATTGTGCGAACTCTACTAAATTGTGGTGCTGACCCAGCTGTACAGAATGCAAATGGACACAATGCAGTAGATGTCGCAGCAACTGATGCAATACGACGTATTTATATAGAGGAACTATTGAGGGCAACAGCTGCTTCAGAGTATGTGAATCATTCGTCATGATTAGATTTAAGTGTTTTTTTACGATTAAAGCATTAAGCACATATTATACACATTAAACAATTAGATCATTAATATGGGTATGAATTTTTTACAGGATAGACAGAGTAGTGCAATTATTAGATGCAGGATTAGATGTTAATTCATGGGATTCACAAGGTAGCAAGAATACACCGTTACATTGGGCAGCATGTTATGGAAACAAGGATATTGTTCAATGTTTACTCGGTAAATACAGATTGATGTCGTACTCGTATATCTCTAACATTTTATTATATTAGATCCTCTGTGCAGATAAAGGAGCTGATGTAAATGCCGAGAATGGTTGTGGCGCGACACCGTTGCATGATGCGGTGAATCGCGGCGACATCGCTATCTGCCAGGAGCTGCTACAAGCTGGTGCGAATCCTCTCGTGCGAGCCACCAAAGGGTGAGCATCGTACAAATGTTTTCTTTGTGTGTGCACAAACATACTAAAAAGCAGTCTCTTTTTCAGAACATTCGCGGGAAAGACTTCATATGATCTCTCCAGAAAGAAGCAGTCTCTGCATTGTTTTCTTCAGAGATTTCTGTCAAACTTTATGCTGAACGAGAACGAAACGATGCATAGTCCCACAACTGCCCTGCCTTCGTTTGCGGACGGAAACTTCTGCCAGAAGAGTCTCTCAAGCAATATGAGCCAACTCTCGATCGAGTCTACCAAGTCCTCGGATCCGGTTTACGATGTGCCTTTGCGTGAAGCGGGCAAAGAGAGCCCCAACAAGTCCATCGTCGACAAAGGGAGTATCTACAGCTTACTGTGGCCACAACCAAAGTCTGTGATTGAACTAAAAAACTTTACGGCCCCATTTATCGCCGGAAAGGAACTTTTTATATCAATAATACAGGTAATTTGCAAACCACGAATGTCTAAAATATATTATACAGCGCGTAGAAAGTATTTGAAAGACGCGTCAGAGTTTCCCCTAATTTTGTTAACCTTTATCAACATCATCGTCGTATTTCTCAGTATTTTTGTCACACATTGTGTGTGCACGAATTGTTTTCTAGGGCAGCGAGTCTGTGCATAGAATACTGGATGTATGGGAAATCAGTAGAACTCATCTACTGGAACTGGGTCACGATGTGAAAATCGGTGAGGTGCAGCCCAGTTGCGGCAAATTGCTCAATGACAACATGATCGAATGTATCGTGAACGGAAATCTATTCAATGTCGGGGATGGCTATCAGCTACACATCTCGCAGAACTCCATAAAAGTGAGCGCTGGCAGTTTAGCGGGGCTGCATTATGCGGTCTGTACGTTCGTCCAGATTCTGCGATTGAGCAAGAGTCAGAGCAGATCGGAGGCGTGCGAGATAGAGCCAGTGTTTATTAAAGACGAGCCGAGATTTGCTCATCGTGGTGTGCTGTTGGACATCTCGCCCAGGGGACGCATACCGACCTTGGAATATCTGCTGCATACCATCGACCTGCTGTCATCGTTCAAGATTTCTCACTTGCATCTCTATTCCAGACTCATACCGAACTGTGATTGGCAGCTTTGTTATTCCAAATCCGAGATGGTCACCCTGGATAGATATTGCAGGTATAATTATCGTGCATTGATGGACCGTGAACACATTTTTAAATGAATGAATGATTTATCTTGCAGGGATCGTCATCTGGACATAGTTCCCACGCTGGACGTCGACTCTAATGTCGGTCAACATCACTTGACGCAGATGTGGCCTATATTTCAAGAATTACTCGCAGTATTCCCCAGTTTAAGTTATATCCATGTTGGCCCGCGATTAGCTAGTCTCTTGGTGCAAGCTGACAATTTTGACTTGAATGTGTCCGTTAACGAGACTATCGAAACGGACATGTCGGAAGTATTCAAGTCCTACTCCTGCCTTCAAGAACTCTGGCATATTCTCAACCTGAGCTCGAACACGACTCTGCTATTATGTTCTAACGGTTTACATTCCAAACCGGAGTTCCACAATATTCCCATCAACATCGTACTCGTCGAATATGGGTTTCAGGTAGTCAGAAAGTTTCTTTACATATACAGGAACAGTTTTTAAAAGCGAAGAGCACAACGTTTATCACGAAGGTCTCGATGTTGTAGGCAGATTACGATTTTTCCGAATGGACTGAGGCGTTCAGAATGGCAGGCGGAAACGTTCTACCGAGCTCAGGCACGGCCAGTTATAACAGCTTAGCGGGATGTCCGGCGTCGACATGTGCAAACACACGAAACGCGATAAAAACCTCTCTGGAGCAGAACTCTATCGGTATCGTTGTCGCACATTGGTCAGGGAGTCATCATCTCACACCGCATCCCTTTGCCTGGATCGGCTATCTAGTAGCAGCAGGTCTAGCTTGGAATCCGATAACAGAAATAGATTTAGGCCCGGACGACATTTACGACATCCCAGAACTGACCGCATCTATTAGGTAGTGGTGACTTGCATGCTTACATCATAGAGATTCGTTCTTTTCTTCGACCATATTTAAGAAGATTATTTTGCTTTGTAGGGAAAAATGTATCACGAAATTGCTAGACGTACACGTGTTTCAAGACTCGGAATATAAAATCGGCAGCGCGATATTGGAATTGGGACGTCTGGATACTTTGGTATTAACATTGAGCAAGAACCAAGCGATTAAAGATTTACAGCAAATCCCTGATAACCGCGGTTCTACCTTATATAGATTATTGACTGACCCGGACAACGTAAATCTTGAATATCTTTCGGCCGATCTGTTCGCCGTAAGTATACCTTTGTCTTGAGTTTTTTGAAGTATCTTTAGACAAATATATATTTTCGGAGCTAACAAATAACATTAATTAAATTGCATAATATTATAATAGAATAATTATCAAAATGTTACACGTTTTACAGAAAATGACGAAACAGATCAAACGAATATCCCATTCCTTGTACGAAGCGAATCTCTCGTCGAAATTTGCGTCGATGGAGATACAGGAACTACAATTGACCTCCGATTTGATGCTGACAGCTTGCAAGATCGGTCGTACATTGATCGGAGTCGGTGTGAATCCTAATAGCAACATGGGACTGGCAGTCATCAATCTAGGAGTGTGTAACCTACCACCAACTTTCAGAACGGATATAGCAAACAAAATGTTGGCTCACATCGAGCAATATAAAGGTTCCTGGCTACAGAGGCATCTGCCGCAGGGCCTCCAGAGTTCTTTGCTAGTTTTGACTAGCGCGTTACACAGATTCGTGCCAGAAACATAAGTCGTTTTTAAGGACGCGTACAGAGCATCTCGGTAACTTTGAACGTCCAAAGGATGTAAGAGCAAAAGTCCGAGCGAAGCCTTGTTTTTTATGTCTTTTGGAACCTTATGTTACTTGAGATTAGTCGGTGAAAATTTCGATAGAAGATTGCAATGTGCAAATATACATGATAGTTACACGTATTACATACAGAATCCCTCACGAGGTGAATTCGAAAAGCGACTGCACAGAGAGCAATATAACACTTGTACCTTTATATGACTATGTACTGATTACACTATTGTATATTCACTGTGCAATATCGTTTCCCCGATATCTGCCAGAAAAAATTCCCTCAAAGGGATCAGTGGCTTTGTTGAAAAGATATAATTTTGTTCATGATGAAAAATTGCAATTATAATGTTCGTTTTATTAAATACAGAAACATTTATTAATTCTGTGTATTTTTATTGATTATGGCATGTGAAGATTGTGGATATGTAATTACAACAAATTGCGATAATGTCATTTATTTTTGCATGAGTATGTGTAGATGTAAAAACAGGTCAGAGTTCCTTTACAATGAGGTAATATATATTTTCCATAATACTAATGAATTTGATATTATTATACTATCTTATATAATAAATATATATTGTTCACATACAATAAACAACAAATGGATGCGTTAACAAATTATTTCACAATGGATAACACAAACATCTTTTCATACATGTATATACTTCATACTAAATATATGTACAGTTTTATATTTCATTATTAATTATTCAAAATAGATTTTACTATTATTTAAAAGTGATAGAAAAATAGTAATTTGAATTTTTTGAGCAACAACCTGTTAATTACAATTGCTAATTAATCCTGAGTATAGCATTAGAGCAATAGCATTGCAATTATTTAATCTAATAATTCCACCAGATCATAAAGAGTGCTTTTAAATGCATTCTATGCTCTAAATACATTTATTGCATAGATAAAATTTAGGCGATAAATTAATATATTATTCAATATCACTTAGAATAAAATGCATATTTCAATTAAATGCGTCAGTTACGTTCAACTGATAATATATTATCATTTATGAGATTATTTCTTTTTTGCTCACTCCATCCGCCCATCTCTAAATCTTGCTTCTGAAGCATTTCCTTTTGAAGTGCTTGCAGTCTATAAAATTCATTGATCTCAAATTGATACTTAGGCGCTGTTATTCCAAAAAAGTTGGCTAGAAATTCACCAACATAATCACAACCATCCAACATTTTTGAACTCAACCATGTGGTCTGATGCCACGCCCATGGTAACCACTTCATATTTTTCTAGAAAATAATATGGAAATTATTGTTATAATTTTGTCATTGTAGTAATTTTAATTATTACAATAATTTTAGTTAATATAATCTGTATAATTACAGAATCTATTTGTAACACTGTTTTATTGTTCTTTGGTATATCAACTTCATCTTCTGAGGAATATTCTTCCATCACACCATCAGAAAACTGCAGTACTCTCTTTGGTTTTTTATCTAATTTAATTTTCATCTACATGAAATTAAAGAAATACTCGAATTAATTTCAAAGTATTGTAAAATATTGAATGAACAAGTTATAAGTTTTTTTTATAAATATTGTTCAAATAACTTTATAAATTTTGTTAACAAGTTAAATTAATAAATAAAGTAAAGCTAGGAAATTCTTAAATTACTTATTGCACAAAAGATCATATTTAAAAAATTTTTTACACTATCTAAAGTGAAACTTTTAAATCGTATTTAGAACTGTTTTCAAATACAAAAAGATGTTTCTCCCTTACAAAAATGTTTAATTAACACTCTATTGATGCACTTTATTACTGTTAATTACTATAAATTACTATTAATTACTATTAATTATGAGTTGCTTATCCTAATAAAATCTTGCTATACACAAATACACAGCTACAAAAATGTAATATTAGATATGATAACCTCAGGACAATGAGAAGATCGTAAAACAATTTCTACGTTTGTTTGGCAGCTATACAAAAGGCAGGTTAAGGCCAACCATCACCATTCCATAATGGATATACCTCAGTATTCGCATCGGTGCATTCTTGCAAGATGACCTCGCTCAAATCAGAAGCCTCATCTTTTTCCAGCATTCTTATCGGCTGTATCTTACGATAACAGAAATGACTTTTTGCTGAACCGCGCCTACGCGCTTTGACAGTTCTCGATAACGCATCCAGTAAACATACGTTTCTCGTCCGCGTGCTGTTCAGCTGATTCATTTGATAAATACAATTCGCAACGAGCGACATAGAATAACGGTCGTCAGTCCCAACCGAAATTCCATTGGTGGTTAGCTGCAAGTCAATCGATATTCCACGATGACGTGCGCTGTTACGTACGTAGCGCTCTTTCTCAGTATTTAAAAGTTTTCCGCAAACGGCTGTCCACCAACCACTCTTAATTTTCTCTTTTTCCATTTATTGTTAGTTTCTCCATGCGTGCATGCGCAGTCACTTCACCACACATCTGGTGATTCTTTCGTTGCTAAAGCCAGCGGCACACGGTGCTTGTTTTCGTGCTGGATTGTTCGCTGGATGAAAATACTGCGTTCTGATTGGTGCATTTCCATCCATCTTCGAAAATGTACCAATCAGAACGCAGTATTTTCATCCAGCAAGCAATCCAGCACGAAAACAAGTACCGTGTGCCGCTGGCTTAAGTTGCAAGCATCTCGCAGCTACGAAGCATCATAATTGGTGGAGTGTAAGATAACTATTTCCCCACTGAGGAAGCCGTCGATTCTCGAGTCCTTAACTTCATTTGACGTCGAATGGCGACAGAACGACGGCCAGCAGTTCGCACTAAACGAAACAGTGAGAGTTAAGAATAAACGATTCGCTGATGGCGAACACGTTGTGAGATGGGTGGTGTCAAATCCTGAGGTTGAAGCAGTTAAGTCTGTGTGGTGCAACGTGAATATTGTCTGGTGCAGCTCACAGAACAAGTAAGCACGCGAACGAGCAGGCAGTTTATTTCGCGACGCGGCACGACGCCTGAATTATGTGAGTGTTGGACGTTTCCGTTGCGAATCGCGAGGTGCAGTCGTGTCGCGGTCGCCTGTCACTCCTGAATAATGTTCCATCACGAGTACGAGAAGCGGCTGTGCGTGAAAATCACAGCGGATAGCTCAGGAGCGACGGGTGGTGGTGGTGCTGTGTCTGCCACCGCCTACTCGTCTGTCTATTTCTCGCCTACGAAGACATCAGCGGGCAACAACAGCTATGACCGTTTCATACCGACTCGGTCGGGCAACAACTGGCAGACCACGTTCTCTATGATCAGCGAGAACGGCCGCGGCGGCTTGGTGGCGAAGAAGACGAGGGAGAACGGCGAGAGCAGTCGCGATGGTATCGCTTACTCTTGCCTGCTGAAAAACGAGCTGTTGGGTGCGAGTATCGAGGACGTCAAGGGTCAGTGTGAGGAACGTCGGGTATTGTCGCCGTTGGTGACGAGAAATCTCTTCAAGTATACTACACCCACCAAGGATCGCACTCTGTTGGATCAGAGTTCACCTTACTCTTTGTCACCACTCAGTGCAAAAAGCCAGAAACTACTAAGGTCACCCAGGAAAGCCACTAGGAAGATCTCAAGAATACCTTTTAAAGTACTTGATGCACCAGAGTTGCAGGATGACTTTTACCTGAATCTGGTTGACTGGTCCTCTCAGAATGTCCTCAGTGTTGGTCTAGGCAGCTGTGTTTACCTTTGGTCGGCATGCACCAGCCAAGTAACACGACTGTGCGACCTGTCTAGTGATGGAAACAGTGTCACATCTGTTGCGTGGAACGAGAGGGGTAATCTGGTAGCAGTAGGTACACACATGGGCTACATCCAGGTGTGGGATGTGGGAGTGAACAAGCAGGTGAGCAAGTTGCAGGGTCACAGCGCCCGGGTAGGCGCTCTCGCCTGGAATGGCGAGGTACTTTCGTCTGGCAGCAGGGATCGGTTGATACTGCAGAGGGATGTGAGGACGCCGTGCGTGGTCGGCGAACGACGACTCGGCGCTCACCGACAGGAAGTGTGCGGCCTCAAATGGTCGCCAGATAATCAGTACCTCGCGTCTGGCGGCAATGACAATCGACTATATGTGTGGAATCTGCACTCCCTCTCACCCATCCAGACCTACACTGAACATTTGGCGGCGGTGAAGGCTATCGCCTGGTCACCTCATCACCATGGATTACTAGCTTCCGGCGGTGGCACCGCCGACCGTTGTATTCGTTTCTGGAACACACTAACTGGCCAGCCGATGCAATCGGTCGACACGGGCTCGCAGGTGTGCAACCTCGCGTGGAGTAAACACAGCTCCGAGTTGGTCAGTACGCACGGCTACTCGCAGAACCAGATCCTCGTGTGGAAGTACCCGAGCCTCACTCAAGTCGCCAAGCTCACCGGCCATTCGTATCGCGTGCTGTACTTGGCGATGTCTCCGGATGGCGAGGCGATCGTCACCGGCGCCGGAGACGAGACCTTGCGCTTCTGGAACGTCTTCAGCAAGGCGCGCAGCCAGAAGGAGAACAAGTCTGTACTGAATCTGTTCACGAGCATCCGATAAACGTATCGTGACGGACGTAAGGAAGGAGCATCGGATGCCAAGGCGCCGTGCTGGAAACGTCAGCGTCGTATTATTTTATTATGTATTTGTACATATATACACATAGACATATATATATATATATATACACACATCGCCTCGGATACACGATCATGGTATTCTAAAGGAATTATAATACGCATATACATGTGTAAGAGGGAAGAAACTATATATATATATGAAAAGTACATATGAACATTGTAAAAGATATAATCTAGAAATAGAGAGGAAGGATATTTGGAGCTGTATAGAAATATAAAAACTTATGCGATTCGCAATGTGTAGGATAAGTTTGCGAATGCTTCATAACAGCCTGCAATACACGTCGAGTACTTGTCTTGTGTGCAATATTCATCCACATTATTTCACTGCAGAGACTTGGGGACGAGAGGCAGAAAGCGTATGAGGAAAAGAGGAGATTGCCTATCCGCGTTTGTCGCGCAAGTTAGATGCTCTTTGTATTTTTTATGCACTTTATATACACTCATTTTATGTGTCGCCACGCTGTTCGTAAATGATGTCAGTGAATGAAGAGATCGTGAATGATGTCAGCACAGGGTGTCCTGAAAACCGTAGTCTTAACTTCAATTACACGCTCGACGTCGGTTTTTCTTCGGTTGGACGGTTCGTATAGTTCAAATTGTAAGTAGATGAACTCCAGCAGATAATATGCGATTGAACCATGAAGTTTTATTATTCGCTTAAATTCAAATCGATTTTGTTTTTTCCTTTTCAGTTCGAGCTTTAATTAGAGAGACGTGTGTGTGTGTGTGTAGAGAATATCGAGAAATTTCCGTTCTCCAGAACCTCTCCACTGGGAAAAGTCGACGCTGAATTCGCCGAGAAAATTAAGCAATTGAAGTTGAGATTGTGCGTTCCGTGACAACTTGCACTGCGCGCTTGCGTTTTCATATTCTATTTTGCACATATACGCATATATTTGGCATATATATATATATATATATACACACACACGAACTATACTTTGCTGCTACTTTATATATTGATCAAGAGTTTATTATAACAAGGTATATTTGTAGAATTCCTATGAAATCTCGTAGTCACGCTTCTCTTCCGAGTGCGCGTACCGGTCATTGTGTCTCAGTAATTTCTCAGAGTACGCGCTATCAAAAATATTTGCAGGCTGATCAGTCAGACACGAACAAAAAAGTGAAAGATTAGGGAGCGAAAAGTCTACGCCTAGATCCAGTTCTGCATCTGGAGAGAAGCTTGGATCCTAGATTGCTTTACAATTTTTTTTATATATTATTTACAATCTCGATGCGTTATCAGTGTGCGTAGAGCAAATTCAAAATATATACGAATCAGAGATTTTGTGTTACACTCAAATACGACTAACGCCAATTATATAGTTCGCTACCGGCAAGTTGTACAAATTTAATTTGAAACAGGACTTAGAAATTATAACGTCTACTAATTTATATTATTAATGAAAGAGAAAGAAAAGGACATATATATATATATAAATAATATATTGTGTATACTTTTCGTGTATGTTATTCGCGGAGCGAAATTTGAGAGGAATCGACGAGAAAGAAAGTTATACGCGATATTCAGGATCCGCGTGTAGCTTGCGGACGTAATTAACATAATCTATTTTTCTGCGTTGTCGTAAATCATACGTTTACACGCGCAAACGCGTGTAACAAAACGACTAGTAGAAAGAAAAACGATAAAAAGTTGTATGTATCGAAGTTGAGGGATCGTAATCCCCTCGCAAGGTTCATGAGTCGTATCGTCTACCAAGTACGAGTGCGATAATAATGGCAATTATTCTGCCGTGTTATACGTGTTATTGCGCAATTGTCACGATATATATTTTTATACAATTGCCCTTGTTGCCGTTCAGAGGGACGCACACTTGCGATTCACCAGGCGGAAGCAGTGAAGACACGTGCCGGATGTAGGGCCGGAAGTAAAGCGAAATGCAAATCACAGCAGTATAATTCTATATGCGCACCGCATTCTGTATACGCTAGAATGCACGCGAGCTTCTTACGGTGAACCAACCGTACGCGTAAAGATGTGCTTTCACGCAATTTGGTTTTACGCGACACGATCTATAATATCGTAACGTATAATTCAATTGGAATGAAACACATTTTGTTCTCTAAGGAATACGAAAGAAAATACATATGTGTGCATATATGTTATGTGTGAAGGAATGTGAGTTTGAATGTGTGTATACAGCCGTAGACAATATCAGTTCTATTAAATGTAAATGAAAAAAGAATGTGTAAAAGATTGAAAGAAGAGATGTATCGTGTGTACAGTGATCGGCATAATAGCCTTGGGCATGGTTGCCTTTCGATTATTAAGATTTTTTAATTGTATACAATGTTGATTTATTATTTATTGATTATTAATAGTAGAAGAAGCGATCTTGTCAAAGCAGTACACTTGTCGCAGCGGTAGCTTTATATTAATGTTTAGAAAGGAATTTGTACGATTAGAAAATATTAATAACTTTGTACTGAATATTATTAAAGCTATCATGCCGGTCTGTTTGAAAATGAGACAACTAAGTGGTGAGTGCATTTAATTCTAGATGCATACGTGATGTATAATTGCAAAGCGCGATAAATATCGGAGTAAAACGAAAAAGCTGTCAACAATGCTAATGTATGCAAATTAGACACCAGCTAGTCAAGTCGTAGATATTTAATCATGACAAGTATCGTTGCAAGCTTCTTCGAAACTCGGTAAATCCGCTTCTAGGTATCTCTTGCAGTTAATTATTTATAAATATTCGCGCCGATGGCATCACTGATTGCGTCTGATAGAAATGATATTGTTTGCGGTTTTAATGTGTACGCGAAATGTGTCGCAACTAGAGTATCTTGTGTTCCTATAAAAGATGCACTTGTTTGCGTGAATTTACGTGAAGTCTGCAATATATACCGAATGTGTGTCTATACATCAACATGGAAATTGATTTAAATTTACGCTACATTATTGCAGATGCAACGATATATGTCATATATGACATCGATTGCGATTCAATCGATGTTCAATTCATATCGCGTGTAGAAAATATATGATGAGCTATATATTGTTTTTTGGCAGTTATCAAAATCAGTAATCGCGCAATTGATTTTCAAGTCATCCCAATTTATTGCGTGTAACGTTCGTAAGAAATATTCTGTCAATGGTTGTTTTACATTATTTCTTACGAGTCACGGAAATAAAAAGAAAATACAATTGTCGCTAATTATCGTAGAAATCGACGTTAATTATCAAATTAGAATATACCATGATGTAAGATATTTAGCCAGTCAGTTTTGTATCCGTCATTAACTTGATGACAATTTCAAGCGAGTTCTGTCGTACAATGTCATATATAATCATACATTTGTATACAATCTAATTATAATTTATGTCTTTCTGAAATGATATATATTTCTGCAAATTAAAAACGAAATTATATACTAATATATATGAAACTTAATAATACTTTCAAAAATTTGGCTATTATGTAGTTGTTATGTAACTGTTTCAAAGTCACACATAGTAAACAAATATTAGTGTTAGGACATATTAGGAAAATATTTAGTAAACTTAATAATTATATTTCCGTATTATGGGGTAAATAAAATAATTCTGTTATAAAATTACTTTCAGCTTTTTTGTCTAGATTCCTCTAAGATTGATGTAAACAATATATAATTTCAACTTATATAACTTAAACTTGATCAACATTAAGATTTTTTTTGAGAACTTTTATAAACGCTATCAGAAAAGGAGAGATTATTATATAAAGAAATTTAATAAACGAAATTAATAGTATATTAATATATTTTAATTTCATCGTCATAATTGGTTGATTGCATTAACATTTACAAAGTAAATTTATACAATTTGCACGCTGTGTAGGAAAATACAATTTGTATCACATTTAACATATACATATACTGGACTAATGATCTGTCCTCTACCGAAGAAACGTGACATGGAATACAAAATAGAAGACGTAGCGGGATCTTCCAGTACGCACAAGAACTACAAGTGGATCTATGTCTCAAAAAAAGAAAAAGACGAAGCAGGAGAGTGATCTGTTGCAGCCGAGGAAATAAAGATACAAGCGGATATCTTTGTTCTATCCAAAGCTGTCGAAACTGCCGGTAAATTCATGTCGTAAAGAATTTTGAGTACCCGATATGACAATAAAGACTTATGGCGTAATCTCTACTTGTAGGGCAAAAGAAGAAAATGAATAATTGAAAAGGAAATGATAAAGGAATATGATAAAAAAGATCTAAATACAAAATTATAACGATAACAACAACAATGAAAGATATGCTAAAATGTCTTAAATACAAATGCTGTTACATTGCTGTATCTTCAATATTGGTAACGATATATGATAATTCTCATGCAAAGTAAAAACATTTTTTTATTATAGAAGAAATATTTGTTACATGGATACAAAATATGAGTACAGTACATGATTAGTTTATGTAAAATATTGTTTATTCTTATAAATATAATTTTTACATATATATACTCCGCCTTCCTTTCGATATTTCAGACTGTCAGAATTTTAAAATCAACATTTGACAGACTCTCAACATTGTATAATTCTTCAAATTACCTACAAATAGGTCTTATATGGTTGTATTATGAGAAGTTCTTTTCAACAATATGGTAGGGTATATCAAATGTTTACATTTAGATTACCTTAATATTAAAGAGGAATTCAGATGAAAAGATTGAAAGTATTTTTATAATAATCGTTTTATTTACCCCATGGTTACAGACGCTAAGCTATGTTTCTTCTTCTTTTTTGATACATTAGTTGACTCAGTTTCTATTTGTGCTTCTTGCACACCAGAAGATTCTCCTACACCTTCCGTTGCGATCAATGAGCTACGTTTCTTCTTTTTCTTCGGTACAGGACATGGATCTTCCTCATCTTGTACAGCAGAAGACATCTCTGTTTCAAACACTAAACTATGTTTCTTCTTTTTCTTTTTCGATACGTTGGTTGATTCAGGTTCTATTTGTGCTTCTTGCACACCAGAAGACTCTCCTATGTCCTCTGTTGCGATCACTGAGCTACGTTTCTTCTTTTTCTTTTTCGATTCATTAGTCAGCTCGGTTATTACTTGCGCCTCTTGCACAGCAGAAGACTCTTCTGTGTCCTCTGTTGCGATTATTAAACTACGTTTTTTCTTTTTCTTCTTCGGTTCGTCAGTCATTTCAGTTTTCACTTGCGTTTCTTGCACAACAGAAGATTCTCCTGCGTCCTCTGTCGCGATCACTGAGCTACGTTTCTTTTTCTTCTTTTTCGTTTCGTCAGTCGGTTCTGCCGACGGTTTTATTTGTGTCTCTTCTGTTTCTTCTGTCTTAATGTCCAAGCTAAGCTTCTTCTTTTTCTTTTTCTTCTTATCAACTTCCTCGTTGTCTTGCTGTGGCTCTTCTTTGATCTCTTCAATTAAGGGTTTGTGTTTAGTTTCCTTCTGTAAGGTTGAATCAATGGACGTAGGATACTGTGCGTACTCGTTCTTGCTATGATACTTCTCGAATTTAGCTTTCGCTTTAGCAGTACCACTAATTCTACGTATGTTTCCTTCTTCGAGGAGCCGCAATCGTGCCTCCAGCCTCTGCTTATGTTCCACACCGAGATCGAAGTTGGTGCTCTCGCCCAATGCATCAAATCTCGTCGCCAAAGAAGCTTTAGCCGCCAACATCCTGGACATCTTGCCCTTGTTCTTTTTCGAAGATTGCCCGATAAGATTCGCATGATAGATCAGACCATATTTAGGCGTATCTTTCTTTGTCTTAAGTGCGCGAAAGAGCGCTTTCTCCGCGCCTAGAATCTGCACGGTGGACGCCGGATGCTTGGCAAGATTGACGAGAGAACCAGCATGCGACATGAGACGTGCACCAACCAGTTCACCTACGAGTATCGACAGATTTGGCGCCAATGCCATCATCCTGGACTTCAAATAGTCGAATAGCTGACTTCTGTAGTCGGACAGTTGTATTATCTCACTGCATAGATACTGCGCGAATTCAGCGTCTTCATTGGAGATTTCCGTACCCATTGAAACCTCTGCAGCCTCCTTCACTTGTTTTTCGATCTCCTCGGGCAGGATGTCTGACAAGTCACAATCTACAGCATTGTCTCGTATACCGATAATTTGTACTGTTTTCACATAAGCCATATTATCCTGGATGATTTTGCTCAGCTCTGGAAAGTGCCAGCCATACCACTCACGGCATCGCATCATGTAGTTATTTAATTCCTTATCCAACTCATCCAGCAAGTTTACTGCTTGTATTACCATAGTATCAACTTTGTCAGGTGAGAATTTCAATTTATATCTAGAAAGGCTATGTGCCAGGCCTAACCTCATAGCAGTCATTTCTTTCTTGGGTACTCCACCTAGCAGACTGTCCAACTGACTCCTGATGCCTCTCATTAACTCCTGTACTGCTGTATTACTTATAAAATTCAAACCTAATTTATCCTTTATGGCATTACCCAGTTTGACATCAGCGACTGCTATTTGTTCATGCATCTCACAGTGTTTCCTGAGAGCTTTCTTCAAAGATTTGCATAGTTTACCTTCCACAGCTGCTGTAATAGCTAACAATGCTTCAGTCGTGTCTTCGAACTTGTAAAAGTGCTGTAAGCTAATACTGTAAAAGCAGAAATAAATTCGATTGATATTCGAGCTATACAATATCTTACACAAAGCTACACAATATTTTGTTAAATACATAGGCAAAAAGTTAACTTCAAATTATAAATAATTTATTGCACATAAATAATCATAATTTTATTTGACAATAATAAGTATAATAATAATAAATCCTACTAATAATCCCTACTATTCAGAAGGAAATTTCCGAAGAAAAACTCATACTTACATTCCATGGGCGTCTTCCGGCGTTGCAAAATCTTGGTATAGATTTTCCGACTGTTCAAGTTTATTATTATCCAGCAACTAAAAAGTCATTTTAATATTACATATATCCGTAATATAATACAATATTACATTATTTTGTTGACAACAGTGTATTTATGATTTCGCGGTAGAGTAAAAAAAAAAAGAGTTAACACATACAACACTTGGCTGTTTGGTTAGACATAACAACTTAATCAAAGTCTAACTTACCTTGAAGATCGCATATCCTGCCGCTGTTTCGAACAGCACCAACATAATTGCTACGTTGTTTTTGCAACTCAATACATACGATAATTATTTTCATACAGTTATTACGCTGGTATGAATATTCTGTATGAACACGTGTATAACCTGGGAAAGAGAGAACCGAAACAACGCTCTCCAACGACGATGGCTGCGTTCCAATTAGAGGGTAACGCGACAGTTTCCCGAAAAATAGCGGAGACAAGGTTGGTATCAACGAAAACTTCTAGACGACATAGTTTTAATTCCTAACGGTTAGTAATACTGTTTAAGTGGTAAGCTGTTAGTTTGCGCAAACTTTTTGACAGCTGTACGCACGTGTGTCACAAATATCATGTATCGTCAAATTATAAATGTAAAATACTTTATAATATTAAATAAAAATGACATAAGTGAAAACATAAAGTGCGAATAACAAAATAAATGAGACGAGTGAGAACATAAAGTCAATAAGGTAAAAAACATAATATATAAATAAATATATATATATATATATTATATATATGTGTGTGTGTGCGTGTGCGGCGCGCGCGCGCGTATGTGTGTGTGTATGTGTGTGTGTACATGCATATGTACGTATATGTGTAACTAGATAAATAATTATTAAATGTAAATAAATAATTTAAGTTTTTCAGTGTTTTGGCGTGCTTCAGTAAATTATCGGTCATGGTTGTGACTTGGTTCTTTGCATTGGCATAAATTTTCCACTATTGCAATAAAGAAATACATATCAGGTAAGTAATTAATATTCACATAAAATAAAAGATTAAGTATCTATGTATAGTCAGTAATGATAGATGTTGAACCGATTCTTTCTTTCGATTAATTTTTTGTTTCAGCTTCCCAGCTATCCAAGTTCTTGCAGAATATTAATAGTTGGAAGCCACTTTCCTGTGAAGTAAGATTACCAAAGTCTCAGGTTATTGTGTCCTTGAATGCGTCCCAGTGAGCAAAAGTTGAATCACATCCTAACGTCAAATATTAGAGTAAGATGTGTTACTAGCAGTGTAATGACAGATTAATGCATCAAACTAAGAATAAGTTCGTAACATTGATGTTTACTGTCATATCATCAATTCTTTTGACAGCTGTACTCGAAATTTTTTATCATTTTATCATGTAGCGTACTGACTGATATATTCTTCTTATCTTTTAGGAAACAGTATATATTTTTTGGTTTGATATCTATATTTTTAATTTTTTTTAAAACATCTAAATAATTTTCGATTGTGCGACCTTCCATTATTGAATACACAATAGGATATGTCTGAAACTTGAGAAAAAAAATTAAAAAAATAAAAATAAAACAAACAATATAAGTAAGCGACATAATATGTGTATATCTATATTTATATGCCGCTGATACACCTTTAATTCTTATTTCCTACCGCCGATTTTCGCTTCCCACCATTCATTCCATTCCTTCACACTCTCTCCCTCGCTCTCTCTCTCTCATCCTTTTATTCCTCCTCCTCCTCCCTCTCGCCTCCTCCACTCCTTCACATCTCTCATTCCCCCTCTCCATCCCTCCTCTCCTAGCAACCTTTCTACCACCTATCCCCATCCCTCTCTCTCTCCTCCCCATCGTGCACGATCAATATTTAATTTATTCATCAAATTAACGCGGATAAATGAACGATTCGTATCAATTTTTTCTTTTCTTATAGTACAATGAAAGAGTAAATCAGTACCGAAAATTGAATATTGATTAATACCATAAATCAGTGTCAGAAAATTGTCCAAGTGCAATTACAATTTGATCTTATTTTTCAGGTACTTACCCCTCTAATTTACTCAACAAATTAACTCTGTTAAACGAACGATCCACATCAATTTTTCTTTTCTTATAAACAAATGAGAGAATAAATCAGTACCGAAAACCGAACACCGATCATTACCTAATTTTTTCATCAAATTAACGCGGATTAATGAACGATTCGTATTAATTTTCTGTTTTCTTATAGAGAAATGAAAGAGTAAATCAGTACCGAAAATCGAATATCGATTAATACCATAAATCAGTGTAAAAAAATTGCCCACGTGCAATGACAATTTGTTCTTATTTTTCAAGTACTTACCCCTCTAATCTTATTCAACAAATCAACTCGGATAAACGAACGATTGGTATCAACTTTTTGTCTTATAAAAAAAAGAGAAAATAAATCAGTACCGAAAACCGAAGACTGATCAATACCATAAATCAATGTCAAGAAAATTGTCCAAGTGCAATGACAAGTTGTTTTCATCTTGCAGGTACTTACCCCAATAATTTACTTAACAAATTAAGTCGGATAAAAGGACGATTCGTATCAATTTTTACTCTGTTATAAAGAAATTAAAGAATCAATCAGTACCGAAAATTGAAGACCGATCAATAACTAATTTTTTCATCAAATTAACGCGGATTAATGAACGATTCATATTAATTTTCTGTTTTCTTATAGAGAAATGAAAGAGTAAATCAGTACCGAAAATCGAATATCGATTAATACTATAAATCAGTGTCAAAAAATTGCACACGTGCAATGACAATTTGTTCTCATTTTTCAAGTACTTACCCTTCTAATCTTATTCAACAAATTAACTCGGATAAACGAACGTTTCGTATCAATCTTTTTTGTCTTATAAAACAATGAGAAAATAAATCAGTACCGAAAATCGAAGACCGTTCAATATCTAATTTTTTCATCAAATTAATGCGGATAAATGAACAATTTGTATCAATCTTTTTTTCTTTTATAGAGAAATGAAAGAGTAAATCAGTACCGAAAATCGAATATCGATCAATACCAGAAATCAGTGTCAGAAGATTGTCCAAGTGCAATGACAATTCGTTCTCATTTTTCAAGTACTTATCCCTCTAATTTATTCAACAAATTAACTCGGGTATATAAACGAACGATTCGTATTAATTTTTTATTCTCTTATAGAGAAATGAGAAAGTAAATCAGTACCGGAAATCGAATATCGATTAATATCGTAAATCAAAATTTATATTGTTGTTTAATTCCATCGTCGCAAAAGATTTGACGTTTTCTCTATCCTGGTCCTAACTTGTAGAAAATTTGGTACTCATCTCTATTTGACAAAAGTATGTCGGGCTTTCTGTACTAACTAATATAAAAAATTTTGTTTCATTCTTATTTTTTCTACGTCTAATATTTTAATACCGAGACTGTCGAAATGAACCTGTCGAAATGGTCTGCAGAAATCCTGGCAAGACGTTTCTCTCTCTTTCTCGCTCTCCTCTCTCTTCGTTTTTGAATCGCCGCTAACGATCGAAAACCGCAAGCGGAAAGTAACGAAAATTTATTCATCCAGCTAAAACGTTCTCCGTGTTATTTTTTAAGCGTTGGATAAATACCAATCCGGCGTTTGTCAAATATCTAACAAAAATATCTCTGTTTTTTTCTTGCTGACATTCAAATCGATAGTTTTCTACAAGTTAGGATTTGATAAAAAAAAGTCTTTCCCGAGTCGAAATATTAATTCTACATTGATCTTGCAAATTGCATCCAATTTGAAAAATCAACGCAGAATATCTAGATGCGCAATAGTGAATAAGCTTTGTCCTATCTGAACGTTACATCTGGCTACTCTCGCAATCTCGCCCATGATAAGTCTTCAACAGCGATGTATTCCGCAGTTATTTAATACTAATTTATCTCGATAATGTATATGTACTTAATCCTTATATTCTTAATTTAAATGAGCAATTTTTGTTGATGTTGATTATATATTCGCTTAACAGCGCAAGAAAGAGAACAAAGATAAAAACGTAAATAGAATTGCCTTTGTTAGAACTGCACATGAGATAAATATATAAGGATTAAATAATCATATAAGAATTAGAGGAAATGGGAGATGAAAAACACTTTTTATTCTCATTATTCTTAAAGTTCTTTTTTCCTTTTTTCTTCTCTTTTTTTTCTTTTCTTTTTTCTAATGAGAATAATGAGAATTGTAGCTCTCAAAAGAGCTGAAGCTGCAAAAAGACAATGGTTATATCTAATAATGCTGTTTCACTAATAGAGATTTTAATTCAGATTCGGTACAATAAGAAAGATAAACAAGAATGAGAAACGGATATTCTAGCAGATTCTAAACGAAAACAGCAATCTGAGCATTATTAGACGAATAAAAATCAACACTTGTAAAATTTATATCAAATTCTAAGATCATTATTCATAGTTTTCTAAATTATGTGCAACTTTTAATTGAGAACATAATTAAAAATTTGTATTCATAAACCTTAGCTTGCCTCAGCAACCTTGCTTGAATAGACATTCATATTTTATGAGAAAAGAAAAGTAGAACTTATGTTACGTAAAATTAGGTTAACGAATAATCAAATCTCAAGCTATTTTATCATTTTTCAGATGATAAACTATGAATGCTGATATAATTTCGACTCGGGTATGTCCTTACTTCGAGTAAGATCCGTTAAAATCAGAAAAATCCTGCGTAATAATAATGCGTAATAATTCGAGGTACCTCGAATACTATACATGATGTATCGCTGTCCACGTCTCTCGGCATGTGTAACATGTTAACATGTGCAAAACAAAAAGAATTGACATTGTGTATGATTAATATCATGAAGATCATATCATATCATACGAACCCAGACAGCACAATGTCCAAAACTGGGACATAAGACGTCTTTAAGACCTCTTTAAGACGATTATAATAAAATGTACTTGTAAATTCTCTCTATACATATACGGTGTAATGTACGGTTTTATTTAAGTTTATATAGTATTATAATAAATTATAAACCTTCACTATCGAATATACATATCGAATGTGTATATATTCTACATATTTTGATATTTTTTTGTTCAAAGATGTTATTCTTATTATAATTGACGAAATGTTAATATCTAATTTGACTTTAAAAACTATATCGAACTAAAACTTGATTAATACATACATGACAGCATTTTTATTATAATAAAATATTCTTGTAAATACTCTTTATACATATACGGTATAATCCCACACAGCACCGCAATATTACAGAAATGTTGCAGGAATATTGCTAAAATATTGCATAAATGTGACAACAATATTGCAGAAATATTTAATGTCCTAGGCATAAGTCTCGCAGAAATATTGCGGGAATATTGTTATGATGTTGTAGGAATATTGTCACAATATCAGAGGACTATTGCCACAATGTTGTTGAAATATCGCCACAATCTTGCAGGAATACCCATGAAATATAGTCACAATACTGCAGAAAAATTGCAAAATATTGCCGAAATATTACTGCAGTCGTGCAGGAATGTTGCTACAATATTTCTTAAATGTTGCTGCAATATTGCAGGAATATCACTGAAATATTGCATAAATATCACAGCAATATTGCAAAAATACTTAATGTCCTAGCCATAAATCTCGCAAAAATATCTCAAGCGTGGTCTACAATGGCAGTAAGCAGTAAGAAGTAAGCGTAAGCGGTAAGAAATAAACCAATCACAGTCGATTATGACAAAAATAATTAACTGTGGTTGGTCCATTTCTTACTGTTCACGCTTTCTTCTTATTGCTTACGGCTATTGTAGACCACGCTTTAGAAACACTGCGTTAAATAAAAAAAATGTTTCAGACAAAAGTTGTTTGACTTGAAGGGGGACATAAGACAGCGATAGCATTTTGTTAATAGATGGTGCCACTTTCAAGATATTCACTGACCATCAATTTTTATAAATGAAAATCCCAACTTTTTATTATATCTTCTTTTTCTACCAATTAATTTGAACAACTTTTGTCTGAAACATTTTTTATTTGCTTAATATTTTTTGAGATATTTAAGGAAAACTTGGTAACTTTTCCAACATTTATCTTACGATATCTCGCTAACTATTCGTCGACAAAAAAATAGTATTAGACTTTTTTACTTTATTTAATATCAAGAATATATTAATAGTGCCCTAACTTTTGTTAATTTAATAATTTTGAAATTTCCAAAGGTCGATAAGTTAACAAAAGTTAGGGCACTATTATAATAATATATTCTTGATAGTAAGTAAAGTAAAAAAGTTTAATACTATTTTTTTCTTTCGACGAATAGTTAGCGAGATATCGTAAGTTAAATGTTGAAAAAATCTCGCCGAAACCTGAAAGTGGATGTAGCAACGTAGTTCCCCTCTCAAAATGGATGCAGATGGCGCCCTTTCCCAGTGCTGAAAGTCGGTGTCGTCGAAAACACCGTGTTGGCCGCTCTCACATCCCTCTCTGGTGACAGCCAAGTCGTTGCATCACACGCTCTGAATATGCGCACTATTGTAGCCATTGGCCGCGTTCAGTAGAACAAAGTGATCAGAGAGCGCTTAGTGATTATTGTCTGTGATTGGAACATTCTTTTAGATTCTTCATAGACCCAGAAGTATTTACCAATCAGGAGCGAGATTCAATGGAAAATCTAGTAATGTTCAACTGTTGAATCTGCTGAATGCAGCCAATGAAACTTAGGCACAGTTGCCCCCCGAATTTCAGCACAACTCCCCTCGCCTATCTTACGGGCTTCTGCTCTGTCCCTATATTCCTATGTCTATGGTTGAGTGTCGTGAACGCACCCAAAGAGTGTGTAGTGTAGTACAATAGCAAGTTGTGTTCGGTTGGTTTTAAAGGTTGAATTTCAATCGTTGGAGAAGGTGAATTATGTAATCTTAATGTCATAAATCGTGTTAATAAGTTTAGCATGCATACTAAATAAATATTCAAACTTTTATAAGCTCTTATTAGAGCATCTCATTTATTTGTAAAACAATCACAGAAATTAATCTCTGTTGTGAAAAAGTTTAAGAAAGTAGGATTTTGGATATATATTCAATATAGCATAGTGATATATAATAAGCGTGAATGTTAATAAGTTTCATTGGTTGTATACAGTAGAAATAAATAGTTACTTGTATATATTTATAGAATACAAAGATTATTAAAAGATCATAATTTATTTTTCTTTAGATGGGAGGTCACGAACATGCTCATGAGCCTCCATATAAAATACCGAATCCTGATATTTACAAAGTAGAAGATGTCCCAGAATTAAAACATCTTCAGGAAGAGCTAGCAAAGAGAGGACTGAAGGATCCATGGCTGAGAAATTATGTATGGCGTTATCAATCAACTAAAAAAGTTTTACCACGTGCAGTAGTAACTCTAACCAGAGGCATGAAATATGGCGTACCAGCATTTCTGATCACCATAGCTGTTGAACAATACTTTGGGATCGATTATTCTGGTCATTCCCATCACAAAGATAATCATGGGGATAATCATCATTAATATTCAGCTTAGGTATTAACATTTAAAATGTGTTAAAATAAAGTAGTGGTAATGTCACTGTAAAGTGACAGTTATATAAATAAATTAAGATATAAAAATTTTTTATTCCTTTTATCTTTTATATCTTTATATTTCATATTATTATTTATTTATTGAAGCTCTTGTTTGTTTTTTATATACAACAAATATAAAAATATGTAATCAATAATTAAATCGGTTATTAAATTTTCAGAGTTGAGACAAATTATTGAGATAAAATTTACATATCTGTATAAGATCAACTTAGGGATTAATAAGCGCTAGTTACACAAGAAATATTGCTTGAAATACTAGTTGTAATTATTTACAATCTTTTCACATTAAAAATCTCTTATCCAACAATGACTTGTTGCAAAGATTCCTCTTAATATTACATCTAATGATTATTAAAAATAATTGTGATACAATGACTGTTGTTATACAGGCAAGTACGTATGTGCCGTATAATGCCAGAAAGAACGCAAATATAGTGATTTCAAATGTCGCCAATAGCCATTCATTTCCATATAGTACTACTCTGTTGAAGGAATAATTATTATCTGCAATAAAGTTGCATTTAAAAATGATGATATTTACATTAATTTTGTCAAGATCGTGCAAGTTTTATTACCAATATAGAAGACTGATTTATCTTTGGCATCTTGAAAAAGAACATCGCAGATTTTTTCTAATATATGTTGCTCCTTGATTATATAATCTTCGCTTTCCGAACAATGATCTAAGAACTGTGTCAGAAAGGTTTTCACCTTCGATCTGGTTTCATTTAATTGCTTCCAATTTTTGAAAGATGTGTCATTAACTCTGAAAGCTCCTATGTTTCCCTAAAATATATGTTATTACTTATTAATATGTTATAAATATATGTTAAATACTTTATGAAATACGTTATAAGTACTTTTTATGAGGTGCACATTATTATTATAATAATTTTCATAATTATATAACAGCCATGAGTATTAGACAGTCATTCTAAAAAAATCAAGATCAATTGATCAAAGTTATCAAAGCAGAATTTTCGTGAACGTACGTTATCCTTCTGCTTCATGAGTTCGTCATACAAAAATTTGAACGACCGAGTCAAGGATATTATAAAAGTCTGTTCGGTCGTTCCAGGTACCAAGCCTCTGTGTGCACACAAGTTATCCTCCTCCTTTTTTAGGTCATTTATCAGCGTGGGAAGATCTGTATCCGCAAAGCCATGCACGGATCTATTATGAAAAGAAAAATCCAACAATCAACAGAGTTTGTCGTAGTGTCGCGCAATATCTTAGATTACCTGCCGTGTATATAGAAGCCATAATAATTATGCGCCAAAATAAATACACTGATGTTTGCGACTGAGCACAGATCTACAAATTTCTGCAGTCTGTTCCGGATGTATCTCTCATAGAACATAAGGCGGATCAGCCATTGCGCGAAGTACACGGATACGTACACAAACGTGCAGATTGCATATTGCAGCGTAAAATTATTCCTCGTTTCGGAGAATTTATCCGCGGCGTTTGCTTCCGGCATCGCTAGCATCCACGATTCCAAATTAAATATCTACGATACGGTACGAGTATTTAATTAATATATTATTTAATAAATTATTAGTATTTGAGTTATTCGAATCATCTGCTGTAAATCGTTTTGTACAATTCTGCGAAATATCACAATAATTAAACAAATAGAGACATTTTCTCTCGAGCTTCACACCTGCAAAATGCACAGAGTATAAACTGATTGCAATGCTACGTTTATTTTTCGTTTGGTCTGAAGTTTGCACCATTCATTTGCGATAAAATAGGTTCTCCAAACGCTGATCGGCGCGTTATTAACGTAGTTGTGCTCTATTGTCTCCTGCAAAGGTGATCTCGATAATGAACGAATAGAAGAGAAGTCTGCCGCATATTTGTCAATCGTCGAAGACTTGGAAATTTCACTTGGGCTCGCATTCCCATTCGTCTTGCGTAATCTTTTCTTTCTCTTGGATGCAATGATGTCCGACGATATTCTTGTAGATCTACCATCGTTCCGCGAAAATCTGTTGGCGTACAATTTTCGCAGGGAAGTGTGTGGTGAATCATATTTCACTTGATTGTGTATCGTTCTCTGTTGCTCCCAGTCAACGAAGAATATATTCAAATCCCAATGTTGACAAATGAAACCTATCATTTCTACGATCTGGATTTAAGATAATCGAATTAATTGTGATAATTTACCACAAGTATATTAAAGTAAAGTATAGTATAGTATAAGTAAAGTATATTAAAAATTTGCATATTTTACAAGAACGATATATAAACTTCAAGATACATAAACTTCGTTAAAAATTCATTCAAAATTAATTTTCTATAAAACACTCGCGTTCTACTTACTTTAAAGCTGAATGCTACACTCATGTATGTTTGAATTCTCTTTTCACTGGCATTGTCGGGAAGTAAAATGTACGGTACAGTCTGACCTTTATAAAAGACAAATAAACATATGCACGCGCCGATGCATACGAAAGTGATGACGTTCCCAACTATGCCCATGGCGTAGACCAAGAACCACAATAAAACAGCTACGCTAAGATTGCCGTTGTGATTGCGCTTGTAATAGCTCCATGCCTTGATCATGGAAAATATCAGAGCTATTCCCGTCAGCACGCCGATAGTTATCTGATAAAAAGAGAAATTTTATTCTTAAAGATGAATTCTCTCGTACGCGCGCGTCCCGAATTTTCTCAATCTCAGTCGATTTTACCGACCTGCACATTGTAATCCATGTCGCTGTCCTTTAATTTGAATATAACTTTGTATTCTATTACAATGTCGGGATTATCAAAAAGATCTTGATACGTCAGTTCATCATACTTTACGATCAAAAAGGGTGCGAAGATTTTGCCATGTTCTTCTCCGTTCTGAACATTCACTCTGCAAGAAACATCTCTTCGTTGCTTGCCGCGGGTATTTACAAGAGAAAAAGTTTGTGAAGATTGCGAGCAACTTACAAGACAGTTAGAGATTTCATGTATCGTAACACAGAGAGCTCCGGTGCTTTCGCGAATCTAATGTTCATGAACGTGGGTAGCGCCTTGAAACCGCTTACGTTATCAACTAGAAAGAATTTCCGCACTAACTGCTGCCGCAGAATTTCATCAATATCCTATGAAACACGAGAAGAACATAATTATTACAAATATTCATAAAGTAGCTATTATTGGTTTAATTATCTATTGTCTATATGACAAAATATGATGTAATTTTACTTCTCCCGCTAGCTTCACGACCACAGGCAGAGCGTGCGTGAAAGTCCTATTGCCGTCTTTAAATATTAAATAAGGAGACAATAATTCCACTTGTGCGTTCAACAACTCGACAGCAGTGGTTCTGCATCTTTTGTTGTAATTCACACCAAACCTCACGTTTCTCAAAAGCTGACAAGGAAGACTCGGCCTACCAATGGACAAGAACTCGCCGTTCAAGGAGAATTTGGCTATTGTAAAGTCAAGGGTACTACTCTGCAAATGTATAATAAATTTAAAGCAGATGCAATCACCGAGTACGCGCATCTTTCGTATCATACATTATCTTCTCTCCTGAGACTGTATCTTTCAGATATCTTTGTGTCATTCAATATTGATATAGTGTCCTGCTTGTTGTAGAACAACCATACCGGCGCCAAGGGTGTGTGCACAAAGAGCATGCAAGCTATACCATCTGTGTAGAGAGTCAGAGCACATATATTTGACAAGTGTTCGCATGCCATTCTGTCTTTCCTCTGAAAACAATTGCTAAGTGTGTAGCATCTTCAAGGAAAAGTTAGTCTCTAAGACAGATTTAGTTTCTCTCTTCTCTCGTGTGTGTACCTTACAGAGATGCACTGCTACTTGCAATTCACTTCGCAGGTAATAACTGTCCACGCTTTCGCTTTGAAATTTCATCAGATATGTGCTTCTGACATCGGGCCAGTCAGCGACGTCGTCCTTGCGTAGGCAGTAATTCCGTAGTCTTACGTGTGTCGCGCTCGGGCACACGCAATTTTCACGACCGCTGTACTCGCGGTCGCATGGTAAGCATTTGGAGCAGTCGGCGGACGGATATGTGCCTTGCACGCATGTTATACAAAGCACAGTGTCCAGCAATATACCGTTTACATTTCTGTCCACTAGAAATATATTTGAGAAATCCGTTAACAATTCAATCATCGCATTACAGTGATATTGAATAGAAAAGAGAGTTTTCGAATTGAATAAGTTGCCAACGAGTGCAACGATCGCTCTATTTTTTTGCATTAGTCAAGAAAATCTGGTAAATCCAGTAAATTCATGTTAGACTGAGAAAAGTCGCTGGTTAAGAAAAATGATCAGGATTACGTCTTATTTGATTCGTAGAGCATTTGCACGTCGCATTCGAGCGCAGGATACATTCTCCTCCATCGGCGCTCGCGATCATGTCGGGGCCGCAAGCGACACAGCGCGAGTTACCGTTTTCGAAGCCGATCCTCCTGCTAAACGCGTTGCATACGCATTGCAAACCTGCATGAAGTTCAAATGTGAGTCGATCATGAGACAGACATCACGTGAAAACGAAACGTGAGAAACTTACGATTTGCAGCCGGCTCGAGATTTTTGCTGGCGTTGCATTGCGAGCAAGACAAGGAGAGCGTATCGAAGTACTCGTCGTACCTGCAGGAACTTGGTGTCCAGTATTCAAGTGTATCATTGTTCACATTAATCGCACCAGCGAATGACGAAAGAACAATTGCAATGAATGGTACGTAACAATTGCAACTGTCTCGGATGCAGTTCATATTTGTTTACACGCCGCCATGGCGATAGTTGCCATGGCGACGATGTCGGCTAACTTCAGGGCTAGAGCATTGCCAACGGCTGAAATGAATTTTTTTTCCTCAGTTTAAATGAGATCTCTCGATATAAGACGACTAGTGCGGATACGTATTAAGACGATAATTGTAAGTTACTCTTATGCTAATTATCTCTCAGCTGCCTGTAAATATACGATATTACGTATGAAACGACAGTCAGCCGATTAAAGATGAAAAATATAATTACGCAAGTGTCCGTTTGATTCAATCGTTACGAATAAACCCGTCAATTCATACTTTAAGGTTACTGCGAACTTTTCTATTTTCGTAAGTAGAAGCCGATGTAACAGATCAACGAGATAAATTGATAGAATATAATTATAAACGTAATAATTTTCTTGAAATTAATGCGTTACAGATAATAATAGTGACTGTTTAATTAAACTAGTTCTTAGGCGCTGCCTAAGATGACGAGATCATTTTCCTTTGCGTCTCATCGACGAAGGTGGGAGCAGAACGTGCCTCCGGAGGACACGACGCGAACGACCAGCCAGCCGACTTAGGCGTCGATTTCGTCAGGATCACGTCTACGTGATTCCACGGTTCCGTCGGAAGCATCACAGGCGGTAGCTGGGTAAGTAAGTAAGTAGGGATAACGCGGCTGCGGAGAGTGGGAAACAATTCGGGTCTTCGCGACTGCTGTGGGAGTCGCGCCGCTACTTCCGACGAAACAGCATCTTAAGGGATAACACACCTCGTTACTATCGTCTAGGTAAGGGCGTCTCGCGACATTCGCGTGCTCGCACACGCGAGCGCGCGTGTCTCTCTTCCCCGTTGGTACAAATCTCTCATTGTTTCCGCGGAGAGCCAGGTCGCGCGCGGGTGATTCAATTTGCATTGTTTATATATCGCGCATACTCTACGCTAACTGACGGGGTTCGATCGTGATGCAACGCGGCGGAATATATCGTTCGTGTGGTGAACGAGATCGACGGCGTTCGTCGTGTACCAATTGCATTCCCGATCGCTTGGCATCGTTAACGGAATGCTGACAGACGTCGTCCGTCATAATCGCGATTACGAAGTCATAACTGCACGATCAGAATTGTTCCCCAATTAAAGAATGTGCGTCTATGGTCCTGTATAAACGCGTTAGACGCAAACGCGCTCTCTTAACAGTGCGTCTCGAGACGCAATCTCTCGCCGAGCTTTAAATCGTTATTATTAATCGTTAATTCTAATCTATGGGCGATATTAATATTTACAATTTTCTCTCATCTCAGAGCTGAGATATGTACTTAATCTTCCTCGACGATCACTCGCGTGCTTCATCCAAACGATATCTATTTGTTTCTCAGCAATTGTAGCGATTGCCACGAAGTGTGTAAGTGTGATTAATACGATATTTTTCACACGGACGATCAACGATTGATCTCATTGAACGCGGGTCTCTCGATACCGAAGATATGAAATTGCAAGGTGAAATTGAGGAATATGAGTCGAAAGATATGAATATCGCGTTCAATGTCAATCATATTGTCACAGTTAATCGTCGTTTATGTGTTAACCGCATTAATGAGCATATCATCGACAAAATTGCGATGCCGATTATGCGCGTAACTGGGATTATTTTGTAACCGATATCGCCGTTTTTTACGTGCTGTCTACCGGCTAAATTTGGCGGGCTTACGCAACGAGAAAGAAAGAAAGAAAGAAAGAAGGAACGAACGAACGAACGAACGAACGAACGCGTTATGTCCGGCCACCATGAGCGTCGTCTCGATGGGCCGAAAGATTCGATTTCACGCGCAGAATCGCGAATGATCTCTCTCGGAGAGAGGAGCGCGTAAGAGTTCGCCGTGCGAACCCTGAATTCCGTTACCGAGGAAAAGCGACGGCTGTCGTCTCGAGAATGAACATCTAGCTTCGATGTTCCCCGTTAATGATTAGTCAGGGATTAGTTACGCGACCGTTAAGTCCTCTCATTGCCGCCGTCACGACGGCGGTGAGTCTCTTGCGAAAACGGCCTCTCGATATACGGCCGGACATTCGATACTCGCACGGTCCGCGCAAATTGACACGAGGACGCGGCGCAATTGCGCGATTTATTTAAGTCCTCCGCTCGCACGCGTATTCGGGGCTATACATTAAATAATGTACACGGGAAACCGACGAGACGGGACGAGAGACGAGAGTCGCGCTGAGTCAGAATCTAAAACAGTTGGCATTATATCGCGGTGAGTAACTCATTACCGCACATTTGTGTGCGGCCACGTCTGGTCTGTCGCTGATCCGTTTCACTGGCCGCCGACGTTTCTCTCTACACGGTGTCGTATAAACCACATCGCAACCGATGCACCCCGGGATAATCGCTCGCCCGCGTGTGAATGTCCGTCCCATTAATAGCGCGGGCCAAATTTTTGCCGAGGATCGCCGGTTGTCACTTGTAACGACACCGTAATTCCGTTATCGCTGTTTGTCATACCGCATGCTCTCCTCGATCGTCTCTCGCGGAGTTTTTGACTCTGAGTCAGCGTTGTCTGAGTTAGGTAGGTCTGCAAGTTGAAAAGTTTCCACAAGATTACCGCTTGACATTGGAGCTAAAGCAGGTTTTAAGTTGTACTTGGTTTTAGATTACAGTTTTCAAACTTCCGATCAAACATCGACTATATCACGACTGCGCGTTGTCGCAACGATTTTCCTGAATGGTAACGCGATTTGGAACATGCGAGCCACACGACAGAGCCGTGGCGTCACGCGTAGTAAAATATTTTTGGGCGCATGAACGAACGAACGATTGAGTAATGATCTAATCCGCTCTAAATCATAGCTACTTTCCAAGAGGACGCGCGCCAGACGCGTACACGCCAATTAAGTCGAACAAACGGTCTGCTCCTGGTCGAAAGAAGTCGGCTATATAACTTGTCGCCTCTTTGGCATGAACGATTCCGCGACGTAAAACCTCGCGTCCTCCACTGGCCGGCCGGCAGGGAATTACCGCTTCTCTCGATGTCATATCTTCGCTATTTATTCCGAGCTTGCGAATTTATTTCCAACGCGTCGTGCGATGCGCCGTAACGGCGCAATCTTATTTCGAACTGCCGTTATTATCGGGGTATTTGTGTCGATGATCCGGCGATCTCTCACCACGAGAGGAACAGGGAGCCAACGAAAAATCATACCGTTGTCCGCTGAAGAAATCAATAAATAAATCTCCACCGCGTGTAAAACGATTCGTCAGATGTCAAAACAATTCCATCGCCGTGTGACGCTTTATCCGTCGCTCTTTATCTCTCGCTTTCCCTCTTGTTTGCCGATGGGAGTTGAAAATTTTTGGATTGGCAATTCGCCGGAATTCGCGCTCGAGTTTCTATCCGCCTCCTCTCGAAATTCGCCGTCGAATATCAAATAAATCTTGATTAATCGCCGCCAACTCCATGACTCTTTGTCTCATTTCACTTTTCGCTACGGGATACGCAGGAATTTGGCTCTGCGTCTGCGTGTATACAATGCAACGTGCTGTTAATGTGTTTACAGGTGTAATCCGAGGAATTCGCCGCTTAGTAGCCTCGATAATTTAACAGCTGACGAAAATAAATCGGCCGCCGTGTACTGCGCTCATTAGCCTACTTACTACTACGCGCAGTATCTGTCGCAGCCTCTCGATTTTAAAATAATTTCGAAACAAAAGATGTAGGCGGACGAAAGACACTAATCTTGCGAACCGAGACTGAAGGCTCGCGAACGCGCCGCAGCGTTATTGTCTCAAGCGACGAGGAGGTGCAGCTTTTGAATTACCGTCCGATCGGTGTCGCGACGTGCACTCGTGACGACATCGGCGACTAATTCGCATGATCATCGATATAACTCGGCCTCTTGTAGACCTGTTCTATATAACTTTTAACGACATTGTTGTTAAAAGTTATACAATAAGTTGACCGAACAATTCTCCAGTCGAATTTCCATCGACTTTCACCGTAACCGCTTGTCCGTTTCTCACAGATGCGATTGTCCAACGACGGTGAATGAGAGCGCGCAATTTTCGCGTCACGCGTCCGCGCTGTTGCTCGCAAATATATCCTTCAGGCGAAATCGTTTCCTGTGCTTTTTCCCGCTGTAAGGACGCATGAACGTTCATAATTGTTCCGTTCTCCTTGATTTTCGCTTAAGTAAGCGCCGGTATATCCTTGCGTTGCCGCTCCCGTCGCTCGCTCGCGACCCTCAACTTCGACCAGCGGCCAAGAGCGCGATGATGAAGTCGCCACAAGATCGAGATATCTATGATCGTTATCACGTACACAGATACAGAAGCCGGCCCTGAAATAAGGGCGAGTGGGCGCTCAGGGTTTCACGCCTCGTATTCAGAGAGGCTGTCCCGGGCTTGCGTGCGCCGTGCCAGTTCAGTTCACGGGCACCAAATTAGACGCGGGCTATTTTCGACCGGTGTACAGCCGCTCGCTCCAGTTTGCCGACGGCTAACCACTGCGAGAGAGCGAGAGAGCGAGAGAGAGAGAGAGAGAGAGAGAGAGAGAGCGAACTTGGACTTTTGTTACACGCGGTATAGCGCGCCTCGCGGCCCTCTCGGTAGCTCGCCACGTGGAGAACGTGGACGGGAGGATAGAGTAGCTCAGCCACGTGTCCCATATTAGCGAAACGATTTTCCACGTCATTTGCCGCTGCATGTATGTAGGTGGTGCATGGGGGGGGGGGGCACTTACTCATACGTTGGAATTAGAGATCATCGTTGTGTTAATAATAATGTCGCCGTGATCCTATTCGTGTTTGATCGGTTTTCGATGCGCTCGAATGAAGATTTATCTAATTGAGTCGAGACGCAACAGTTGATCGCAATCCTGAAATATTCGAAAGGATGTAAGAGGATATAAATATAGAAAGGGATACTTGCGTAAATAGTGTATGACAAGAGAGAGAAAGAGAGTACTTCTCAAATAGCACAGTATATCCTGAATTACAGATTATTCTGAATGCATTTGGAACTAGGACACTTCCCAGGATATTCTGGAAAACATGTTTCGGTCGATTCTCAGACTTGTTGTGCTTTCTGGGCCGATACAAAAATTATCGATACACACATGAAAAGTGGAGTTACCGTTATCTCTACGACAATATGATAATCTTCTCATCAGTTCTCAATAGCGATCCTCTCATTCGCTTTGTCTTTGCAGCTTAGCAAGAAGACAGCCACCTAACCGAGATGTCCAGGCCAATACTCAGCAGGCCGCGTACGCGCATTTACGGCAGCAACTACGACAAGGGCGAGTCCTATTACAAGCCCATGGTTGACCACCTAGATCGGAAGTACAGCGGACGACCGTTGTTCCCGGAGCCGAGAAATTCACTAGCCGACGAGATCGCGGCCCGCCGTAGCGACATCGGTAACCTGTTCAGTCGTTTTCCAAAGTGGTTTTGACGGAGTGTTGTAAGACTTCTCCCAGATCCTCCTCGAGAGATCGTCGACGAGGCACGCTGAATAGATTCGTTGTGTCAAAAATCAAGTATCTGAGATGAACTCTTGTCCCCTCTCCTCCCTTCACAGCCCATGCAACCTCGCTCCAACTTCCACGACTCGCATGATCGATCGTCGTCCACTTCGCCGCGCGCGCTCGATGTACCGTTGTTAAATTACGACCTACTCCTGGACTGGAGGATCACAATCCTCGATCAGTCTCGCGATTACTAACCTGTTGAATGAATTTGTAAGAATTATGGATAATTAAAGCAAATAATTGTGGACAAATTAAATAGAAACAAAAGAAGAGAACAGAGAAGAAAGATTACGAGAGACAAGAAATTGTAACGAGAAATTTAATGAAAGGTGCAGACTTTTTCGGATACTTTGTACAGAGTCTTTTCTCGATACTGTTAAGTTCACAAAGCAAGACTATGCGGTGCTGCAGTGATCAGCGAGCGAGACGCTCACGCGTTCCAACAGGTATTTCGAGCAGGTAGAACTAGAGGCGTCATTCTTTTCTCCAGTGCCAGAGCCGGTTCTTTATTGTTTTGCGTGCATCGATTTTCGTTGTCTCGCCTTCTTGTCTGTAGTTAGTCTCTTGATTGTTGTTGATCCCAATCCCCCCTTTATTTGATGTATCATCCTGCGACTTATTGAATAAATACTGTTGAATGTTGTTTGGATTTTCTAAGTACTCGTGAGATGTTGCGCGGGAGGTTTTGGTGTGACTTGCATTGACAACGCGCACGTGCGCTGCGATGAACGGATCGATGATCCGCGATGATCGAGGAGCCGTGGCTGCGAGACCGTGCCAGCTTCTTCTTCCTCCCGAAGATCGTTTCGTCGGACTTCGACTTCGCGAAACGGTTTGCCTCCGGTTGAACGTTGCTCCGGACGTCCGCATACAGTCCGCATGCTCGCACACTGCTCGCGTCTCACACCGACACAGAACACGGGTGGGGCGATTTATGAAAGGTGTTGCGTGTCCTCCTGAGTGATATGTCTGCAATAAAGTTGACGGTGATCGTCCGGTTAGCGGCGAATAAATTTACCGCGGCTCTGCGCGCGTCTGAGACCGCGCGGCAAACTAGGAGCAACGCGGTGTATCACACTGCGCAAGGGAAAGAAAAAATAGACAAAGAACGAAACGAGAAAAAGAAACACGCTACTTATCCGAGACACCCTGTATGTTTCGCTGACGTCGTAGGTGGTGTAACGCAGAGAATGAACGTCGTGCTTGACGTTGCTAGCAACTAGCCAGTTTAATAGCACGGTCGGCCGCGCCGATGTGATTTTGTAGATGTGCCAGATTGTTAATACGACGCGCATCCGAATTTATTTTTGATCGGAAGGAAAATCCAAAAATATATACGCGTAAGTCGCGCTATAAAGTTTATTTGGCTGAGTCAAGCCGTTGTAAGTGGAGAAGCGTAAAATGTCGTAAAATCTTCGCGCGCGAACAGCCACTTCGGCCTCGTATGAAATTTCACGAGCAAGATCGATATAACGTTCAGTAGTTCTATATACATTAAATTGTAATCAGTGCTGGGGTTTTTTTTTAATCTCACGGGAGATGATCAGATTTCCTCACAGAGAGAGAGAGAGAGAGAGAGAGAGAGAGAGAGAGAGAGAATTTAGATATCTTGATTTCTTAATCGCACAATGTGAAACATCTTGAATAAAAACGTTTAAAATAAAGTATCTTTTTCTCGTTAACCTTACCATCACTGATTATAATCCGCTATATTTTAAGCGCAGTCTCTCATCACGTACTTTCGCATACATAGAGATACATCGATAACGACGGAGCAGGGACAAATCGTGCGACTTTACCGCCGATTCGATCGAGTTGCGACCTCGCGAGGTTCTCCATCTTCTTCTCATCCTGTCAATTATCCACCGCCATCTCTCATCGAACACTCATCCTTCATCTGAAATCGTTGACGCAACTACGACTCATGACAATGATTATTATCATTGTCACCGTCACCGTCACCGTCACCGTCATCGTCATCGTTATCTCGCCCATTACAGTCCTTCACCCTCTCCATGCACAAATCAACGCTCTCTTTTCTGATATCGGTTTTTGCAGGCACGCGCGACCTCTCCGGTCCCCGCACCGGCCGCGACCCTGACCTCGAACTCGACTCCCGTACCCGTGCCTCCCAACTACCACCCCTCACCGACCCTCTGCTACCCCCTGAAGACGAGGACACCGTCTACGATAGCCGTGGTCAACGTACGCGTCGCAGGCTTGGCGACGATTTCGCAGAGGACATAGCGGCGACGACGCGTCGCTTCCGGGCTCGGGTAGCGGCGATGGGACTTGAAGAGGAGCTCGAGGCCGCGACTTCCGCGAATCAGGCGAAGAAGAGCGCCGCTGATCTTCTGGAGAGCGCAGTGACCGCACGGAAAGGCGCTAGGACAGCGATTGAAGAGGCCGAGAGCGGCTTCAAGAGACGCTCGAAGCTATTCGACGAGATAGAGCGCGCAGACGAGAGCAAGCCGGCGTTCACTAGGTGGTCCAAGCTGATCAACGAGGATGAAGACCTGGTGCCGACCAGCGCTGCCGCCAGTAGGGCTAAACAGACGAAGGCGCGCCTTCATGACCTCGAGTCGGAGATGGAGGAGCTCGCCGAGAGGCAAGCCAAGAGGGAACGCAGAGCGGCTGCTCTCAGGGCGCTGGTGAACGAGAGTGCGGCCGCAGCCGACGATGTCGTTCAGCAGTCGACGATCAGCAAGAAAGTGTCGGTGCGCAGCGTGCAGGGCACTGAACGCGCGGAGAAGCACGTCGCCTTCTAAACGGCCGGAGAATTGGAACGGCAAGATAGATCAGAGTCTCGCCTTTCTGATAATCTTCACGACGGTGTCTTACAGCCGATGCGTTGCAGTCGCGCTCGGAGATTGAAGGCGATTTCGTCCGGCTGTGATTGCACTCATGGTCCAATATCGCTTGACAAGGTCTCCTTGTTAACACATAAGAGATCGGTTACGAGACTTCGTGTTCTTTAAAGCTTGAATGCGAAGGATTGCTCACGAGATTTCTCGTTTTTCTAAGCTCAAACGCAAACTACCGGTTTAGTTGCGAGTTCAGTCGTCTCCATTAGTCGTTATTGAGCTGTGTTAACACTTTGAACAACGAGAAATCTCACTGACAGGTCTCTTCTTATGCGTGGAGAATAAATTCGAAGTAATCGCGATGAAATTAGTTAGAAATCAGTCTGGCAGATCACGGCCTGCAACACGATGATCATGAGTCGGCACGCTGTAAGACACTGTTGTATCTCGACATATATGTCTATAGATTTCTTTTTCGACGTATCATGCGGCGACCACGTTTGCGTTTTTGGCAGCCGCGCAATCGCATCGTCGCTGGTTTGTCCTCGCGAAGGGAACATACGGCCAGCTCCGTTGAATAGTATTGTGCTAATAATCCGACATAATCTCGACACTTGCGTGTCTACGACGTAGCGGGTATGTATGTTCGTTTCGCGTGATTTTACAAATATGAATGTATCAGTATGTTAATGCGAGGAGCATCATTTGGGAAATATATTCGATCGGTCATCCGAAGGTCAGATTATCCTCCACAATCTTACTTTTCCAAGTGCATAATTGAATCTTGTAAATTTTACTGCAATCTGAATCACACGCTTTCAATTGTCGTCGAATCGATTTTGCCGCATGAATGTCGCTTCAACTGCTCAAGATCGAATGCACTTCCGGATGATACACCTCGCATCGTGATATAATCTTCTGCTTTTCCGCTCCGCGAACGAGATTCGTGGGAGTTTAAGTGTTGATTGTTCCTAACGAACGAGAGTTACGTTCAGTCGCAGCGAAGAACACCGTCGCGCAGAAACGTGAACGCAATGTTGTAAATTAAGAAAATACAAAAATCGTGTTCTACCGTACCTACCCCGAGAACATATTACTATTTTCATTTCAAAGGTTTATTTTTCATTACTCGGGGACAAACTCTGTAACGCGTTATCAAGCTGTGTTAGGCTGTTGAAAGATAGCCTGAATTCACAAAACTTTCGCCGAATTCATTCTGTCTACATGTATTCTTCCTTTCTTATATATGAATAAATCTCGTTTGAAATTTTTCTTTTCGGAAAACACTGGTGTGTATCGTGTGACGTTGCATGTCACAGATTGCCCTACACTTGATCGTTATCCTTGTGTCTTCCCTCTGTTTTCCGTATGCACAAGAATCCTCACAGGAATAATTCCTATTGGTCGAAGGTAAGAATTGATTTTATAGCGCGAATAAAGTTGACAAGTACGAATCTTACTTGTTATCGTTAACTTCAAGGTGCTCGAGAAAGACGCAGGATTAAGGAATATCCACATTTTAACAGTATAATCATCTTAACGCGATCCTACTAACATTTTAGGCTCTCGCAACTTGTCGGGAAATCGTGACGATTCCTACGACGACCTGGACATCCTATTCGACGGACATGGTCGACCAGTTCAAGAAGATCCCTATGAGGACGAATTCGTGATGACTCACCGGCGCTTCAAGGAACGCGCGGCTGCCGCATTCGAGGAGGATATGGCGGAATTGAGACGCAAGAGGCGGGATATGCAGGTTCAATCAAACGACAAAATAATTCGATAATTCGCTGTTGGAAATCGAATATAATAACGAGGTGGCGGTGGATGCGCCACTTTATTGTGATGAATTGATGATAAAGCTGAGGGTGATCACGCACGTTGCAGGATCGCATCTTTGACGTGATTGACCTGAACGCCGAGATTGAGAAGGCTAAGAACACGCTGGAGGCCGCGGAGATGGCGTTCCAGCGGCATGCGACCAAGTTCGACAATCAAGAGGACGACGAGCAGACGATGTCGTTAGCGCAGAAGCTCGACAGAACGCGTAAAATCGCCAATGCGGAGCTGGTGCCGGAGAAGCTGAAGGTCAAGCCTATCGTGGCCAAATGGATCAAGGTGTCGGCCAACGAGAAACCGGAAGCAACGGCTGAAGCAATGCAGACCGGGAGACAACGCAGAATTAACTCGTTGATCGATACCAGCGAAATTGCCGATCCGTTGGAGTCACTCGCGATGCAGCCGATGAAACGGAGATTCTTGAAGAGGAAGAAGAGCGTCTCGTTTTAAGAGCCGTCGTCGCGACGTGGAAACACACATAGTTGCAATGCGAAAATCGCGAGGATATTTTCTAACGACTATAATCGTGTCATCTTATCCATTTAATTCAAATGTCATTTAATCGTATTCATACTCCTTCAGTTATATCTCTATTCGGTTATACATACGATGTTCTTATGTTATCTTGAGACTATATTCAATGAAAATATGTCGTTATCGTTCGTTACAAGCGTATACCTTGATAGAAATGAATTGCTATGTATTTAATATCGAGTACTATTAAATAAAATCAGGAAAGACTATCGGAGGATTTGCGACTATTAATTCGGAAATTTATATCCTAGAATTTTCCCTGCAAGTTCTCGCTCGGGTAACATACGTCGAACGTTAATTTAGTGGGAGAAACACGCGGTAGGTGCGGAGGGGCGACTCTTAACATTGAAGATGGTATATTTTACAACGCGTATCACCAACGACGAGCATACATATTGCGCTAAATAAATGTATAAATATACAATGTGTATCGTTATACCTGATGAAAAGAAAGAAAAACGGTAATGCGTTCCATAATGTGGCGGTGGGTGGCTCACAGGATCTTCTGATACTTCAAGCTGTAGTAAGCGCGAGTATGGTAACTGTAATGTCTGGATGTAAGTCTCATGTTGGTGATGTATTTCATGTCGGCCGAACGCTTGAAGCTCTTATCCATGTTCTTTTGATCGTAGGTCCTCATAGCCCTCTCGGCCCATTCTTGGGCCCTAGGTGGCTCGCGGAATAAACCCTTCTGCCTATGATTAAGGTAGTCGATCACGTCGTTGTAGTAATTCTTCCTGTTGAGTTAAACAGACAGGATTATTCAGCGGTTGAATATCAAGAAACAATCATTTCATCACATGAACCTTAGATTCTTTGTAAGTGCTGTTTTTTTTTAAGTTACATTCTCTGCCGTGTTAGAGTAAAGTACATAAACTAACATTGAGGAGAAAAGAAATAAAGTTTCAGTACAAAGTTTTACTAGTTCAGATAAGAAGTACAAATCTGTAATTACTCGATTCGGTTTTGATCACTCGTTACTCGCAAACTTACCTGTAATCGTAAAGATACGCATAGTTGAGGAACAGCGGTCGAACCCAGTGATGGTTGTAATAGGGAGGCTCGATCTTCTCCAGTTTTAAGACCGGTCTCTCAGGCGCGGCTCCTTCGGCGGGGGCACCTTCCGCCGCACCCTCGGTAGTTGCTGCGGGTGCAGGTTCCTCTATATCCCATGATGCAGGTTCGTCATTCCACATGATGCTTTCGATATGTATTCACCTCGATATAGAGCCTGGAGTTGCATTATGAAATAATTTATACTTAAGGAATAATTATATATCATTCTCTTGTTAATCTTCCCTTTGCAACGCCTGTCAATTTATAATTTGCACATTGGACGCGTTATTTATACGTAGTTACCGCTCTTGCTGTTTCGTAAGTATCGCGTTTCAAAAATACTCACGAATCTGATCGAACGTTTCGGTTAATTTACTTTTCAGTAGGATATAATTAGCCAATATATATATATATATATATATCTCGTGTGAGAAAAGAGGTCATCAACAAACCGTTTGGCTGAGGTATCAATTGGTATTTGCGGCGAAACTAAATACAGTAATAATCTTCAAATTGCGCCCAAACTCTCGAGCTGATTTCGAGCTTCTACATCCGAGCAAATAATTGATCATATAGATATCGCGTCGTCTCTCGCATCTTTCAAATTACAATTTTATCATTAGTAAAGGAGATAAAATAAGTAATAATTTCCGAGGAACGTAGTATCCAAGAAAAAGGTCGTTGTTTTATGACATCTTCCGCGTATGACAATATTGTAATTTATGATTTATAATTTTGCAAATCGAAGAATTTTAAAACGTCACAGTGTTGCTGTTTTTTTTTTCAATTAACTAGCAGAATTTTTAAGACGTAATTTCTTTTTGCATGAGAAATTTTCTACATCACGCACAGTTTTTAGTTTCGGTCCGAGTATCGAAATCTCCAAATTCTATTCAGGAAGAAATTTGGCAAGAACAACAACGGAGTGTTTCTTCTTCACGACAGAAAATCATTTCACATTTCACCCTCACTGCTATATTTCGACGATCGTTCGCGACTTGGAAAGAATGCGATCTAATACCTGCGACACAATACCCGCTCTTCGATGCGTTCGCACGTACTGCGAAAAAAGCCACCCTTCTACTCGCCGTGAACTCGCCTCTCCCGCGGTTCTTGCGCGTTGTTTCGCTTTTATTATAGCGCATGATACCTACCCTCCACCGCACCGGGCCGACCGATCGTCCCTTCAAAAGTGCGTGCCTCTTTGCTCTCAGGGAGGTGGCAATTTGGCAAGCGATTCGCGATAATTATTGGCGCACGATCCTCTCGCAGATGCATTACACGCACGTGCGTCGGTGATTAAAACGCGTGCGTGACATGCAGTGACGGATCACCCGTTTCGCATCCTTAAAGTTTGACATGACCTTAAAATGAACCAACAAATTAGAAAGAACTAATAATTAATAAATAAAGACAGCACAATTATCATAAATCTTACTTAATAATCATAATAAATGTCAGTATTATTACATAATATTATCATAAATAATATTCATGAGAAAAATTGAATATGATAAAATAAGTACAATAAAATAGTACAATGGAATAGTATGGTAAATAAAAATTGCTCCATTAAAATTTTCTAAATAATTTTCTAAAGATTTTCTAAAGATTAAATTCAAATATAAAGTGCATACACACGTATACATAACGTGTCTTAGAACTTTTATGCAAAGATGTCTTGATCCATTACTGACGACCGTGCAATTTGCGTCTCATCCTTGAGCTACTTCAAGAACATAGTGACATTGAAAAGCGACTGTGACCTCTTGGAGAAGGAGGAGAGGGGGTGGATACCAATAGGTACTAGAATCAAAGATTTAAGTCGCTATAATGATGCAATATAATTATCTTGTAGCAATATCATTGACATGGTACCCTGATTTACTTACTATAAATCACGCGACATGGAACAATCGAATACGTATGAACTTGACATATTTATTTGCAACCATATATCTGATTTTCCTGTACAGAAAAAAATATTGTACAACTATAAAGAAAAATACTGGGAAACTATCATAAATACTGGGATACTATCGAGAACAGTAATGGAAAACTATGAGAAAATAATTATTATTAATTAACGAGACGAAAATTGCAAGTATGATAAAGAAAATTTTTATAAGAAATGTTTGAAATATGATTGAATTTTTCTTATAATTGTTTGTTACAATAACTGTTTACTTGTTGAAACAATGATAAAATTACATCTGCAAGTTTTCGAAATATTCTCAAATCATCTCAATATTTTATGTATTTTAAAATTTTACAACAATTTCTTTCTTTATCTATTATAGTTAAACTTATTAAAAATATGTAATGGCATATATTAAGTTTTATGAAATACCTTTGCTGTTATACTATTAAAATATTCAAAAGAAAATACTGACAATGCCTATGCAACAATATATTTTTTATATAGTATTTGAAACATCATATATACCTTATAATTCATATTTTTTTTTCCATAAAGTAACTTGATATTTAAAATAAATTTATAAGATACTATTTTCGCTCTATTAAACAAGTCTATGAATTTTATTTTAGGGAAGATATAAATATTATATACAAACAGTGATCAATGTTTAACATATTTTCATGGCATTATATCAATCGAACAAATAAACAAATAATTTAATAAAAAAGATTTTCATCAATTTTACTTCATTTATTATTTTTTATAGATATTTTTCTTTTATAGTGTTTTTATACCTCGTAAGGTCATATAATTAGTAATTTATTATTGAATTCATTAACATTGAATCCAGTAGTATTAGTTGAATCAAACCGTGCTGCAAATAATTTTGATATCTAATAAAATTAAATGCATATCTGACGAAAAAGAATAAATAATATGACAGATAAGTAAAACATTAGTAGTGAAAGTCCTTTAACATTTTTTTGGCCCTTCCTTCATTAATAGCTTTTTCAATTACTACTTAAAGAAAATATATATATTTCATTCTAACTTGTACTAATTCAAGAGATTTTCGAAACAACAAATAGACTGTTTGCCTGGATGAGTGTTTCCTGATATGCTTTAAGTTCATTTATGGCGATGTATGTGATGCAACATGTGACGTATATATTATGTACGTAATGACCGTCACGTGACTTTGATATATTGCAGCTAACTCAAGTACTCACGCTCGCAACACGTAATCGGATCCCCCACAGCGACGATAATCTGATACGATATCAATAGAACGTTGAAGTATCGGTGCATATTGTAGTAGATCTCCGAGTCTGGTGTAGTTTGACGTCGGAATGTCAGAGACGCTGGAATTTACGCCTGTGTACGACGATACTAGTGTGAAATTCCTCGAAAGTGAATTCGCGAGGCTCAGAGGTAAGTGATGAATCTCGTGGAAACGCATTATTTTCTGTAACAATAGTTACAAATATTGACTATATTTCTCATGGACTCCACATTCATGACATGAATTACTCGTGCAACGCGTAGCAGAAGCCGAAGGCTGTCGTCGATTCTGAGTAATTCTATACATTTGCATTTAACAGTGCATGAATGGATAAAGAAAGAGTTGACACTCGCTTACTCATACGTGCGTTTATTCCAGGAGAATGTTACGTGGATCATGCAGGCGCAGCTTTGTATACAGACACGATGATCAGGAACATCGGAGACGATCTGCAACGTTGTCTCTACGCTAATCCGCACTCGGTCGGTATTCCTAGTTCATCGACGAGAGATATTGTCGATCATATGAGAGATCGGTAAGAGAAAATATAAAAGAAAGGAAAGGAAGAAGAGACAGAAAGAAAAAAAATTGGAACTAAAAAACAAACAAATGAATATATATATATGTTGATAAACGTGTAATCACGATCTAATTGATTGATACTGCCATTTCAGAATTTTAAACCACTTCAATACTACTCCCGATGAATACAGCGTTATCTTTACCTCAGGTGCTACGGCGAGCCTGAAGACAATCGCTGAAACATTCTTGTTCAAGGAGTATGAAAGTAATAGAATCGGACGGCATACAGGACACTTCGTTTACGTCCAGGACAATCACACGTCAGTCCTTGGGATGCGAGATGTAGTCGCTGCTAGAAATGCCTCGATCACTTGCCTCGGTCACGATCGGGCGTTTCAAGTTTTCGAGCAGCGTACGAACTCTCGTGATTCCGATCGTGGGAGACGGAAAAACTGCAATTCGCTTTTCGTATACTCTGCGCAATGTAATTTTTCCGGATTGAAGTATCCTCTTGAATGGATCAAGAATGTACATGCGGGAGCGTTGTCCGCTGTCGTTGGTGACTCGTCGACCGACTGGTACGTCCTACTCGACGCCGCCAGTTTCGTGCCGACGAATAATTTGGACTTGTCTATTTTCAAAGCAGACTTCGTGTGTCTGTCTTTTTACAAAATGTTCGGTTATCCCACCGGCATCGGTGCTTTGCTGGTAAAGAACTCTAGCTCAGACGTTCTGAAAAAGGTTTACTACGGCGGTGGTACGGTGGACGTTGCTCTCGCTTCTGAAATGTTTCACAGAAAGCGTCAAGTATTGCATCAAAGGTGAATAATAGCTTGCGCTTGAGGGTAGCGAGGAGATTACCTAAAAACTTCCTGACTTGCAGATTCGAAGACGGGACTGTGCCGTTCTTATCAATTGCATCGTTGCGATACGGCTTCGATGTGCTCTCGAAGCTTACCATGGACAAGATATCGCAGCACGTTTTCTCTCTCGCCAGAATCCTGTATCGTTCCTTATTAATATTGCATCACTGTAACGGGAAGTCAGTTGCCAAATTGTATACAGATTCTGATTACGAGGATCGTAATTCGCAAGGAGGTATTGTTACGTTCAATCTCATTCGGTCTAACGGCGAATACGTGGGCTATACAGAAGTCGCAAATATGGCAGCGTTATTCAAAATACACCTCAGAACCGGCTGCTTTTGCAATCCTGGTGCCTGTCAAAGGCACTTGTCTCTTGCAAGCGAGACGATTCTTCAAAATTATGAGGTGGGCTACGTATGCGGCGGTACTGTAGATTTAATCAATGGAAGGCCAACTGGAGCAGTGAGAATTTCATTCGGCTATATGTCCACCATGAAAGATGTCGAGACGGTTTTACTTATGATCACGAAATGCTTCGTTGACGGGCCGAGCATCAAGAAAATTCCGGAACGGTGGGAGGATCACAGGGTGAAAGTTTCTAAAAAATATAAAACACATTTTTGCAATTCCAATATCTTAGATCATGCTACTTCATCTATTATCGATAACGATGAGAATGGGATGAACAATAACATGCAGAATAGTGTACAGAATAAAAGCGAAAACCACAAGGACATTATGACTTTCAGAAAGTCTGATAATACGATTACGCGCGCGAACAAATGCGTATTGCAACGATTATTTATTTATCCCATAAAATCATGCGGTGCGTATGAGATTTTAGACTCGTGGAATTTAAATTCAAAGGGCCTAGAATACGACAGAGAGTGGATGATAATAACATCTTCTGGAATTTGTTTGACCCAAAAGCATCAGACGAATCTATGCTTGCTGAAGCCTGTTATTTTTAAAGAAAAAAATATTATGGAACTCTCATATCCAGGTATAGATTCTTGTATAGATGGTTCTTTTCAATTTAATGGCATTATTGTTAATGTAAACCATAGTAAATTATTCTAGGAATGCCAACAATTGCAATACTTCTAGCAACTACTTATAAGGAATCAACTGAATGTTCTATATACCAAAGCAGAGTATGTGAGAGCAGAGTAACAGGTGTCGATTGTGGATTGGAAGTTTCGGAGTGGCTAAGTTTGGCATTGGGCAAACCAAACCTCCGATTAATTCGACAAAGCTATAGCAGGCAAAAGAAAGGTACAGTGAGAGAGAAACACGAAAAAGTGTACTAAATTTCGAGATAAAATCACGTCTCTCTTTGTAGGATCAGACAAGGAATTATCATTTTCTAGTCAGGCACAATATTTAGCAATAAATGAAGCGAGCGTTTCATGGCTTATTGATAAGGTAACCGATGGTATAGATTTCAAAAAAGATACGGTCGTGCATCGATTTCGAGGTAATATTATTATCAAAGGTTGCAACGCCTTTGAAGAAATACAATGGCAACATATTCGTATAGGAAATAACAATTTCAAGGTATGAATTTCCATATCTACTAAGTTATTGATTTGCAAACGATATTTTAAGATCTTTTTTGGTGCAAATATAAAACACTGCTTCAAATCGATTAGCGTATATAACAGTTTTAGTTTGTTTGTTTATATACCATTGTCATGCAAGCATTAAGAAAACTGAGACAGCTTTTAAAACATTCTAACACAACAAATTACTAATCTTGCCATATAAGATTTTTGCTTACTAGATATTTCACTGTTAATATCTGAATTATTGTATATTCTTATGCTATTGTATTTTTCTTATGCTATTATGTATGTTTGACTTATTTATTGTATAATGTATATCTTATTTTTAGGTAAATGGTCCTTGTACAAGATGTCAAATGATATGTATTGATCAAACAACTGGGAAGAAGACTATTGAGCCATTAAAAACACTAGCACAAGAATTTCATGGAAAGTTAAGATTTGGAATTTACTTGACTCGATTGAATAATACACAAGACTTGCTTAAAATCGGCGATAATATTTACTATTCGTGAATATGTATTTGTTTTATAAGCAATCTTTAAATAATTTATAGTTTTATAAACTATGCATATGTTAACATTAATTCACCATAAGCTAATTATCAAGAAATCTCATTTTGTCAAATATGTATTTATTGTAAATGATTTAACTGTACCTGATTTTTAATGAAATTGTACAATAATGTACATTGCACATTATGTTTGTCGATTTTGTTTACTGGTTTACTTGCTGATACATCTCTGATCACATTCATAACTGCATCAGGAGAGGTTGTTTCAAGAGGTTGTTTCGCATAGTGGATATAAGAGTTTATTATTGTATATTTCAAAGGATCCTAAAAATAAAGATAATTGTAAAACTTCTGATTGTTTAGTTATATTTATTTACTTACTTTGTCTACTTGTATTGTTCTAGATAGTTATATTATTTTGTATTTTTGTTATAAACTCTAAAAATATCTTCTATATAATGATCCAAGTATAAAGTAAAGATCCAACTATAAAGTAAGAACTTTAATAAGGAGAGTTTAAATAATTAAATAAATAAATTTAAAAACATTTCTTAATATACACAATTTATATTTTGAAAAAAATAATCTGGATTGTATGTGTGTATATGTGTATATGTATAAGCTTGTTGGATTATCCTATGCATTTATTTATCAAAATTTGATATCAATTTACATCCATTATTTCTTCTATTGTTGCTGCTGTTTACAGTATTCACTTTACTATATGCTAAAATAAATTTATAGCCTATAATTTAATATGTGTATTCAGAAAATGTAATGTAACATGTAATATACTTTTTAGTTGTAATTTCCTACTCAACAATGTAACTATTATATAATGTACACATTATATAATAGAGATTACAATTAACAGGTATATGTTACATGTTATATTGTTTGCTGGATATGCTCAAGGTCAATCTAATTAAAAACCACATCTTATTAGAGTGAAATATAATCTATGTTTATAAAGAGCTATAAATAATAGCTATAATATAGACATATGTTATTTTTGATACATCGTGTAATCAACATTATTAAAAATAAAATTTAATGTCATAACTATATATAGTAAACCAATAGATATGAAAATTAGAAAAAAAGTTTTTTTACCAAGGAAACCGGTACATAAAAGAAGGTTACGTACAGTTACGTGTTGTCTCCACGAGGCCGCGCTTGGTTGTAGAATTGCGTGGTTTGTTACGAGAGTTAATAAACAATTCTTTTGAAAAATTATAATACAAACTGCTAATTTAAAAGTTTATGATCATACATTAATATTGAGGTTGAACTATGTATACGTGGAAACTGTTCAGTCATGTTATTAGACGGTTCGATACTAATTATAATCACAACGGTGGTAGGTTAGCGCTTTTTGTTAAGCATCATGGTCCTGGTTATGGCAAATTTACTGCTTACCGTAAAGGAATAAATTTATGGTTTCGGGAGCAGGGTAAACAAATTGTCCAAGTATGTAAGAGACAATTCGAATTCATAACAGCACAAAGGATTAGGAGACATGTGCAGATATTTTACCTTTACACAAGAATATGGGACGAGGTAGCATTAAGAGAATTCATGAGATCATGGAGATTGAGAATTGCTAGGAATTTTTTATTGAGCACAGTTACTGTATCTATGTACAATTGGAATCGTGAGAGAATTAGTGATGAAGATGTTAATAAGTACTTGTCACTAACATTTATTTGCAATAGTAAACATACAAATACATATAATTTTAGAATAATATTATCACAATATTTTATCTTACAGATACATTCATGAAATTGAAGGGATTCAGAGATTACGAGACTGTACAGTGGTATGTGCAAAATGTCATTTGCGGATTATCATTGATGTTATACAGTCCAATGTAAAATATTGTAAATGTACTGGAGCTCAGTGTACTGCTTCTAATGAAAATAGTATGTTTTTAACTATTTAAGATTGATTTATCTTGTATCTCCTGTTACTCTGTGTATTTTATCTATCATTTGTATCTAATTTATGGTATAATATACACAATATAGTAGATGGTTGGCAGCCTTATATTGAACGTCAGGATATGTTAATATGGAGACGGCAGGAACCAGGAGGACTGTATGCATATAAAGTGTATGGCTCATTTTCTGACGTTACTGCTGAAGACTTCTTACAAATACAAATAGATGTCGATTATAGATTGAAATGGGATTCTACCGCTAAGGAACTAGAGATTATTGAAACTGATCCAAAATCAATATCATCTGTTGATCAGAGTAATGATATTATTCATTGGGAGATGCTCTGGCCTGTTAGTAGCAAGACACACATGTTTTCTCACCACTAAATCAGTCTCTATCCAATAATTGAATAATTTCTATTTTGCACAGAGTTTATTTTCAAATAGAGATTATGTGTTTCAACGGCGGTGGATTGTGAATAGGGAAAAAGGAATCATAATTATCGTCAGCAGAGTAACTGAACATCCCAATGTACCAATCATACATGGTACTCACAGGTACATAAAAGCAATATATAACTTATACCGTATATAACCTTAGCTATATAATAAGGTTTCTAGGACTAAAATAAAAAGAAACATAAATCATGTCAAAAGAGAAAATTATATTTTTTCTGTCTATAAATAATTTGAAATCCTTATGTATTCAGAGTTAAGTCCTATTGGTCATATATGGTGATAAGGCCTTACACGGAATTTAACAAGCCAGGTATTGAATTTGGTCTCACTTACTTTGACGATCCTGGTGTATCTGTGCCAACTCCCATCACTTCATGGGTAGCACTGAGAGGTTTGTTTTATTATAATGGATAAGTAAACATTGCCAAATTCATGATTGTGACTCATTAACTTTGTATTTGATTGTTTCTGTACTTTCATGACTTCTTTCTGTAAAATATTTGTTAACATGTAGTTATATGATTTAATAATTGTGATAGTTGTGATGTATTTGTTTCAGGTTTACCTGAGTTCTTGATACGTATGCGGAATGCTTCAAAAAATTATCAAAAATATAAAGCAACAAAGCAAAGTGAGACTATACTTAATAGCGGTCACCAGTTATTTGAAAAACAAGTTAAACCAGACACTCCTAACAGTACTATCGAGTTAGATATAATGCATAATGTACAGCAAGAGAATGATGTAATAGAGAATGGAAATAGAGACACCGCTACTAACTCTTCAGCTCAAAAACAAGGTTTATTACATAATTTTTACCTCACGAAATTATTTGCATGACACGAATATTTCACAGTTGATTTAAGGAAGTAATTTTTGACTAGTAGATAATGTAACGTGACCTCATACCGAGAGAATAATAAATCCGATCTCTGCTACCGGAAGTGTAAAAGCATAAAACACAGATGAATGCGTGGACGATTGTATTGCGGACTAACAGAGAATATCAGATGCTTCATTAATGTATATTGAGGAACGATAAATTTCACAGATAGCAAGAGAAAATTGTGACTATAACAAATCTCGTACTTTTTTTCCAAACACTGGTTCTCGTATTTTACGAAAATAGGAAACGAAAATATCTTATCAATTGAAAAATATACTAAGCATGTAGTAAGACTGATTAGTTTTATCATCCGTTGTAGTCCGTTTATTCATTGAAGATATGTATTATGCATTATACAGAATAATGAGGATGTAGCTTATGTTAAATCGTGGAAACAAATTTAAAGCATTGATTTGATGGATTTATGCTATAAATAGATTTATAATATAACAAATTAATATTATACATGTTGGGGAATATATATACATATATACAATAATATACAGTATATATTATATATGTATATATATATATACATATATTGGGTGGGTGCAAAAATTTTGATGGATTTGGTGAAAGAAAAACGTCCGAACTAAGCAATTAAAAATGATTTATTCATTCTACTAAGTAATCTTATCATTATTTTTTATTATCTTTAGCCTATTATATATATTTACATATTTCTGCCATAAAATTGAATTAACTTTTACAGCTTTTACAAATTTATTAAAACTTTTGCATTTATCCAATATAATTAATATTATATATATATATGTGTGTGTGTGTGTGTACACACATGAATATATTTATGTATTTAAATATGCGAGCGAATGTGGAGAAGTACTTTATTCCAAGAAAAACATTTTCGAGCATACGAAAAAACTATTAAATTCTGTTGAAAAGTTCCGATTTTTTAATATCTTCCAAGTGTATAAGTACTTCTAGTTGATATTTAAGTTACAAACAGACATTAAGAAAAACTTTTAATGCTAAAGACAGGCAATGTATAAAATCTGCTTATTTATTTCCCCTCGGTCTCGAATTTTACTTGCTTACATTTATTATAAATTATTAGTTGTAATGTGTTTAGGGAAATGGTATATCCTCTCTTTTTCTCTCTCTGTCTCTCTGCCTCTTTCTATCTCTTTCTCTCACACTTTTTTTCTTTTTTCTTTATTCTGTTATTTCATTCGTTCTCTCATTCACTCTTCATATATAATTCTCAATACTTATCTTTTCTTTATTCGAGAAAACTTCTTTATTTAATTCTGAACAACATTATTTCTTTCTCTGTCTTTCTTTATTGGTTACATGCCTGTTAGAATTTTTATTGACATACGCGAGTTCTCTCTTGCCTACGATAAATTTCGTCTTTCAATCTGTTTAACAAATAAAGTTATCTAAAATTATTATGGAAGCCTTTTAGCTTGACATTTTTTAAGCTATCCCTTGTACATGGATATATACATGTACACAGTATATATTATAAATATAATGTATATATATTCTCCAATTCGTTTGAAAAATTATAGGGAATGAAATTATATAATGTTCATTAATATGTGTTTTGTAAATAATTTGTATATTTTTACATGCCGGTATGCCATTATTCTAATATTCTATCTGTACTATGTACAAAAATTTTCAAGATCATTGATAACTTTCCTCGCTATTATTACTAAAATCATTTTTTTAATCACTGGACAATGTTAATGCATGCTTTGTCAAGAAAGGTACTCGAAGAAAAATATACTAAAGATATACTAAAATAAATTTATTGAGAAACAATCGGAAGTATTTGTGTACATATATTTTTATAAATCTTATTCACATTTATATAAAAAACTATCTAATGCTCTTTAGGTATTTTTTTATATAATGTTTTCCTCTATCATTACATCTGATATGAGAGTATCACCTTCTGTGTCTAACATAAAAATAATCTCTTCTGGTAAGCTTTTCGGAGTAGACGAAAAACCCGAGCAGTCCTCATCGTGACACTTCTGATATATTTCTTTCTTATTCAAATCTACAATCCAATATATGTTGTTACTTTTGTGCCATCTGCCAATGTTCTCACAGAATCTACAGTAAAGCAATGTAAAAATAGTATTATGCACTATCTTTTATGTTACATGTACATAGAGAAATAAAAAGAGATTATATAAAGAGAATAACTATTCTATTATAATTGTATAATTATTTACCTATTACCATAAATTTCGTATCTTAGTATCTTAGTTTTTTCGGAATATTTACTAACGCGTATCTTGCCAGGATCAATGATACTGCGAATATATTTATCAATTTCAGGATATGGTGATACCTGATTGTCATCCTCATGATTGGCTGGTGCTAATATTTTCGAATAGAGCTGAGCTGTTATGTTACTGCGATTTTGAAACTCTAGTAATATTAAATTCATTTTGTTTGGAAAGTAAGATATCAAGGAATCCAAAAAAATTCCCAACTCTTTCTCTTTACATTTATTTAATGGAGTATATGTAGAATCTGAGGATATTGTTAAGTATGATTGTTTTCCCCACTTGGTGGATAGGTATACTCTAAAATGTCTATTCTTTGTATAAACACCATTGTCAATAAATAATCTTTTGCCTTGTGTTGCTGTTTCCACAAGCATTTCTTCAATGTCTGCTTTACTAAATTGTTTCAAGATTCCATGTGACTGCATATCAGAGTTCAAGTACAACATAATATCATTATATATAGTTTTTATGAATCTTCCAATATGCGAGTTATCTCTAAAAGCCATATCTTTCATAGTAAAAATTACATGTCTGCTGAATTTTTCACTGGAAGTAGAATCCAGTATTAAAATGTTATTTCTGTCACATAACAAATGATAGTGATTAAGTAGATATGTGCGTATAATATCTATCAATGTTTTGGTCATACGTGAGCCATTACAAAGAGGATTTAATTTAATAGGATATTCTAAATCCAGATATAGCCAACATGGTGAACCTTTTGGTATTACCTGTCGAATTTATAATAACTTTCTATGTGTTTCATGCAAAGAAAACGAATGCATATCGAAAACATATTTGATTTAGAAATCAAAATATTGTGATGCACTTAAACAAATTAAATTAGGAATTACCTCATACGAACATCTTCGTTCCTGCGGTTTAGCTTTATAATACCACCAATAGACCTCTGGATGTGCAACAACGAATTTGCGATTACCGTCACTGGGTCGCTGGTACACAAAAGTGCAAAGCGTGTCTGTTTTCGTACTACGTTTAGCAGCCGCGGCCAATGCATCCGCTTGTTTAGGAAATTCCTTCCAAAATTGTGTCGGACCCATTATATGCGACGGCATGACACGGTGTATTTTCACCCAGTGAACGTTGGATTTAGATTTTCGCTTACATACTTTGCCACCGTAGAATTTCTCCGTGCTAATTGTATCCATTGCTCAATTGTTTAATTCCACGTCAGTAATCAATCAATAATTGATGGATCAATTACTATTATTTTAGTATAATTATTTAGCCTGTGAAACATTGCTCTTGTAAACATGGTACTCATATTTGATTTGAAATCAGCTGATGACAGTGATGTCAAACTGCCGACCAGTGGCCATCTATAATCATTGAATTTATAAAGTACCTAGATGGAGAAGGACGTGTCTGTCATTTAGTTCCGAAATGCGACGAGCATGCGCTGCAATCGGTGACACCTTTACACGGCGAGTTGCGCGCATCTCCTAATTCTTTCCTTTTCCGGTTGGAGCGAATGGAAGATCGGGCGCGAGAAACAACGCGGGAGTAAAAGTATGTCTTATTTGATAAATTTTCGCATAAATCTCACCAACATCTATAGATCTTAGATGCTCTTTACACGCTCTTTCGATAGCATATGAATGATTATAGATAATCGTATTGCAATTACTCGAATTCGCCCATTTCTTATTGCGTGTTGTTAGCCGCGGAACGTTACGCCTCCATGTTTGAATTAGTCGGAAGTAGCGGCCTACTTAATTTATCTAGTATATATAAATATATCACGCAAAATTTGCCGAAAGTTTTGCCGATTTGATGAAAAGCAAACAATATGGAGGATAAAATAAAGATATAATTGGCAAGAATGTATCGAAACTCGGTACTCTAACCGGCATGGTATATTATATTTGATTTGAAATTAGCTGTGATGTCAAACTCTCGGCCTCAGTGCCCAGACAGCACAATGTCCAAAACTGGGACATAAGACGTCTTTAAGACTTAAAGACTTAAAGATGTCTTATTTTCAGACATCTTAAAGACGACTTAAAGATGTCTTAAAGACGTCTTATGTCCCAGTTTTGGACATATGTGCTGTCTGGGATATTACTTTGACAAGATCGTTTTTTCTACTTTGAATTATTGATAAGTAATAAATCAATATCGCGTACAATTAAAAAGATCCCCTAACTTAGTTGTATAAAGTATTAAAGTTATTATGTTGGTTTTCTCCACGCGTATCAATATATTATTTCAACTATGCATGAAAAATCGATCAAGACGCATCCCGAGTTCCTCCATCTTGCTTTCTAATTCGAAACATCATCGCGCATAATTCGTAACGTTGTCAGCTCCCGGAGACACGTTTATTTTCGTCGCGCTTGTCAACGTGCTGCGACTATGTCGACGCTACATGACACTTCAGCGCGTATTCTAATCTCCAAATCTTAACTCACAAATCTAGCTTGAAAAAGGGGAGAGCTTGCGTCGAGATTTGACGATAAACAGAGGTCGCAACAGAGGACGGTAAGAGGTCGCTTACGTATCTCTACGGGTGATTCCGCCAAACTAGACGCGCTTGACCGGAAGTGTGAGGCGCGGCAAAATTCTTTCTCGAAAGTTCGAGGTAGCCCGAGGGGGCCAACGGCAGCCAACCCCGGAGCCAAAGGGAGAAAGAAGAGGCAAGTAAGTGTACGCATCGGAGTTTTTGATAACTATTATCAATCCGATGAGCGAGATATCCGTGATAACGCGGGGCGGCGACGCGCGTGTGTAGGCGCTTGTCGTCACCGGGGCAAAGAGGTTTGCAAATGATCGAGGTGTCAGTGTCGCCGGTAGTCTCGATGAATCGCGATCCTTCGCGCTCGAATACTCGCGTGTGAGAAAGAAAGAAGTAGAGAAAGAGAGAGAGAGAGAGAGAGAGAGAGAGAGGGAGAGGGAGAGGGAGAGGAGTCGCGCTATTTCGTCCCTACGTTCTCTCATTGATATTTTTCGTATTTTTCGACCCACAGGAGCGGAGTATGATCGGTCACGTCTCTTCGCTCTTCCCACGAATCGGGTCTGTGTTTGACGAAATTCGCGCTTCCATTCTATCTTTGAGACCTGTGTGCGCATCGACGGAATTCAAGTGAACATCGAGTACCTCTGTCGATTGTGGATTTCGGCTGGGCGAAGCGCCCGTCAAACATTTCCCGCGGCGATCATGATCGTGCGTGTGGATTCGTCCACGAAATCTCCAAAGTGCTAACGTGATACACCTGCCTGAAAAATAATAGTGACCCGGAGTATGTCTCAATAGCTTTCAAACGACTACGTGGACGTCAACGTAATTGTACTTGCTATAATCTTTCATGATTCGTTGTGTCTCTCAAAGTACTGATAACGCGCACAGCAGATTACATCAGCGCTAAATAAATACGGTGTTTACGAGTCCTGCAAAAGGAGCAAGTGAATCACAAATATAACCGACAAGTGTCCGTTGGAGCCCGGTGAAATTAGATTTTTGATCCTTCAGATTCATTCTTTTTTATTTTCAATTTTTTCAAACGCGATTTGCGTTAGTTGTGTGCCGTTGCTATAACGAGTACGGTTATAAAATAAAGTTCGAGGTAAATTCATTCGACGAAGAGCGATACTTTCCGTCGCGAGGTAGAAGGCAATCGTTGCAGTGGAACAATATCGACTATGATCGGACGAAAGATGCAAAATTAAAGAGCGCACGCGTACAGCAACTGTAGCACGACCGAGACTCGCGACGGTGACGAGTGAGCTTACGAATCGGCACCTTCACGTGGTAGTGCGAAGCTTCTTTCGCGAAGATGAAGAAGTTGTTTCTCGTGTGATTGTGCTATCGTGCGATGTCGAACGCGATTGAGACGATGACGTTTTATGATATTCGATCTGGATAAGCGAGAGGCCTGACCTGACTCGAATTGATTCGCGTCGTTCTCTCCGTCATACCCATGGGTTCCCGCAGGTTCGTCATGCTGACGATCCTATGGCTGATGCATTATCGGGTAGAAAGCAGGATAACCTGCCGCGAAGTGCAGCTGCATCGCAATTGCGAGGCGTTGTGTAGAGCGAATCGCGAAGGTGTGTTCTCTTGCGAATTGAGAATCGCCGTTCTCCTGCCATCGGACCCGAGTTTCGATATTTCCTTGCCTAAAGTTATGCCGGTTCTCGGTAAGCAGGCTGATAGTAGTTTAAATAAAATTAAATTAAATAAAACGAAATTTAAATGAAATCGAGCTTCGTGCAAAGATGCGAATATTCTACGCGAGATGAAAATTTATTAAAATTAAGTTTCAAAAGTAAAATATGAATTTTACATAAATTCACCACGGAATATCTTCTCTGTAAATTATGCAACGTGCAACGTAATTGAATCAAATTGCATTTATCTCCCGTGATACGTAATATATAGTTAAGATAGAATGATATGTTCTTCAACAACGTGTTCTGTGTGTTGCCTTATCTCAGCGGTATACAAAGATAAATTAGTTTCGCAATTTATGAATATAGTGCCGTGTGCTGCAAGAAATACTTTTCTTCTGTGCAGGTTTAGCTGAATATGCAGCGAGATCGCAGAATTTACTGCCCTATTGGCTGAAATTGAATTTTCTACCGCAGAATGACCATTGCGATGCGATGTATGCGCAAATTGGCGCAATCGACAGTAACTCGCATTGTGTGCACTTGTTCCTCGGGCCGGCGTGCGATTATTGTGTTGGTATGTCATATCAATTCTGAAAATCTACACGTAGAATCTTTCGAAGAAATTTTCAAAATATTATCGTGGCAATAAATTCTGAAAATCTACACGTAGGACCTTCCGAAGAAATTTCCAAAATATTATCATCGTGGCAAAAATAGCGACGAGCGAATCACGCTCTAAAAATATACATTTTTCCCTAAAATCTTTCATTTCTTTTTTACTTCTTTTGCGCAGTACATTTACATGTAAAATTGCGCAATACATTTGCATGTAAAATTTGACAAACGGCACATTTTTTCTCACTATTCTCTTTTTATTCCTTTTTATTCTTATTATCATATAATACGTTCTGGGGTTTCTTTTACAGCAGTCGTTGGCAGAGTGGTGAAATATTTCGGGACACCGCTAATTACCACGGGAGGGTTTACATTCGATTTCACCGAGAAGAAAGTCGAGTGCAAGGATGAATATTTCATGATCACGAGGATTGGAAATTTGGCATTTAGAGACGTGGCCAAATTTTTCGTAGCTATAATGAATCGGTATATACATAATATAAATTCTCTCTCTCTCTCTCTCTCTCTCTCTCTCTCTCTCTCTCTCTCTCTCTCTCTCTCTCTCTCTCTCTCCCTCTCTCTTTCTATACAATAGTCATATATTATATTGCTGTTATGAAACTTAATTTTCTTCCTATTTTTGTTATTGAGGCCTAAAATCTTTTATTTTTATTTGTAAATTAGCTACAAGTGGCGTAAAGTGCATCTGGTTTATGCGACCAATGGGCAGAGTCAAATCGCCGGTCGGCATACATGTCAGCTTATGATGAAGTCAATGGTGCAATTCATCAAAAAGGGGCACGATATTACTTATAGTAATTTCGACATCGAAGGTACAAGTCTTAAGGATTATCCGGAGGTGTTGAAGGAACACGTTGGCAATTCGTACGGTGGTGAGTGTGATCTTTCATTATTTTTTATATTAAACTCTTAGGTCTCTTGCTCAATTTGGTCGCAGAGTATTATCTGCCGATGTATATTATTCATATGTATAATAACTATCACATTCACACCATCGATCTTATTCACTTTCCCGCTTATGAAATACGGCATCGTCGTATCGAATACAGATTAAAGAGATATTAATCATCGCTTCGTGTTTATCCAAATTTATCGCATACCGCCCCTTTTAATTGATTGTGTCGTAAACCACGACGCTTCAAATGCCGTAAACAAGCATTTAAATGTAACTGTCGTTTTGTTATACTATGGCGAATTGTTATAACATGCCGATAAATACGCTGTATTTATATTTCGCATGTTTGTCTACCGGGGAATGCTTCGTAATGAGACAGGTACGGTTCTGATTATGCTATTGAGACCTAAAATCTTTTATTTTTATTTGTAAATTAGTTACAAGTGGCGCAAAGTGCATCTGGTTTATGCGATCTGGTTTTAATGCGTGAAAATCATTCATAAATAGAAAATTAGAGATTATTATCAAAATTAAAATCAATCCAAGTAATGAAATATTCTTTACATTTTAATTTAATATATTTAAAATTATCATGCATTTTATCGGTATCCTTTTTGTATAGCGAAGGCGGTACGAAAAATAATTTTATTTTTTAACATTAGAACGATTTTCAGTTATATTGACTTAAATAATTAACCGATGAAAGTTATTTTCGCGCGTGTGGTTTTTTAATTGTCCCGCGAGGTTAGTGGTAGCGCCACTTTAAGCATTCGCTATAAATTTGACAACAATCAATACATGTCGGGTGAAATGAGGGAAAGGTGATATATCGCATACATTAATCATCTCGAGAGGTTTTATTCCGGTTGTAATTCCTCGTCGTTTTTCCCTCTGCGTCACGTAGGCATAATTGTTTTTCTCTTAATGCTAGTTAGATGGATATTTATATACTTGATACGAATCTAATCTGAACGCGAAGTAAAATATAATTTAAATTTTGCTAAAATTACTCGGTCGTCTTAAATCTTTAAGCTGCTGTTGGATGAATGAAAGTATTAGTAAAAATTAATTTTTTGATAAATGTCACTCTTAGATACTGTTTTTTTATGACTTCAATAGGAAGAAGATATTTGCACAATTTTTTTTATTTAATTTTCTATAATCATTGAATGAAGCGTGGCTTATCGTATCATTTCGCGTTTTATCGCGCAGCGTTTTATCGTGCGCGCGCGCGCGCACATTTGCTGGGACGTGCTTGGACATTTCTATTATTGATATCATCGCAAACGATTTGACACGTCAATACGACTATATTTAAACATTCCTTTAATGAACTTATGTGGCATAGTTGCTTATCGATATCTATTTAAAGCGTGAAGGATTTTTGCCCTGACCCTTTTACTCAAAAATAACATATATACGTATGAAGATATACGTAATGTTATAAAAATAAATTGATAAGAGATATAGAGACAGTTTTGTAACAATAATCTCTTCGTATTTTATATATTATATTACAAGTAACATGTGCAAATATATTTTTCAAATATGCATTTTGTCAAACACTATTTAAAATTATTTTTATTCGACGGTTTATGAATCGACAGTTTTAGTAAATCTCAATGAATATTTCAAATACCGTAGTATTTTATCAACCGTCGGAAAGTATTGACTTACCGTAAAGAATTCATTGAAGCAATCTTGCGTTGATAAGAATCGTCGGTAACAAATTACGCGCAGCAGAGAAGAAAGATTGGATTTTCTAAAGTTTCTATTTATGTGTTTTCAGAATTTTTTACATGTCACATATGGGTGCGCGCGTTTGTAACGTTTACCTTTTTATCGATATACATACAATTGTCTTTTATTCTGTTTGCTTTTAACGAATTCGAATGATATGTTTATTTTACGTTACATATTTCTACAGAAATCTCACAAGGAAAATAATCTCTATCTTTCACATTGCGGTTATGTGATGAAATGATACCGTTATACATTGGTTAAAATCACGACGATAACGAAAAACATTATCTCGCGCGCTATTATTTCACGGGAAATATTATCCCGTGTTTGTAAGTTACGCGAAAAAAGGGATAAGCGCTTTCAAACAACTTGAAAATTGGAAAACCTTAAAAACGCGCGGCGTGATGGGGACGTGTCACGCACATTCACGCGTTGCACTCGTAACGAAGCGAATAGTACATTTGCGAATGTCGTCGCCATTATGCATAAAACATCGAAAACGTTGCGTAGGGATGTGCAAATAAGCACTGATGACAGTTTTTCGCTTATGTCGCATAAATATTGCAGTTTTATGATATATGCAGCAAAGTTGAGCGGCATAAGATTATTAAGCTTAATGGGAGTAAGTACCGCCGAAAGTTACGTCTTCCATGATAAGGACATTAGCGAATGCTTTTAAGTTCCTTCGAGTCAGCGGAAGGAACGATGAGAACGTCTGCGCAAAGATCTTTAACGATCATTGAATGTGATGTGACGTACCTATATGTCCCGGCGTCGATATAAAGTGCAAAGTGTTGTAGGTTTCACTTCTAGCTACGTCCGATCCTTTCAACTGGCTCGAAATATTCTTTCCTTTATTTATTAAGGCATCTTTTTATATCCCTGCATTTCCCTGACATTTCGACGATCAATCTTTAAATTTAAATTCGTTTCGATGAAACGCCCTTCTCATAACACGGATCTCTGAATGAAGAGCAGCAAATGTGTTCAACTATACATGATGTGTGTGTGTGTGTGTGTGTGTGTATGTGTGTGATGAGTTAGTGAATGTCATTTTACATTTAGGATTTTATAGATTTCCTCTTTATTGTCTTGTGTGCTTCGAATTTATTCTCTATGTCGCGCCAATGTATTGTGCGTACCGCTGATGACAGATACGTTTCTATGATGGGACTCTCTCAATCAAGTTAGAAAGCTATTCTAAATGATAAATAGACTACGCGGGCAACTCTTACGTAACTGACACGTTCGACAGTTCTTTCACTTTGAAGATCAGAAAGCCGATCTTGATGGAATGCGCGATAGCTACACGGAAGAAACGCGCGTGTTTAAAACGATGATTGCGAAAGGAGCTAAAGAGTGAGGAGGAACATATAGATTGCAAATTTTGTAATTTTGCGCTTAACAAATATTACATTTTTAATTACAGCGACTTTATACTACGTGTCGCATAATTCGCAGCGATTTACTGTCGAGGAACGAGTGAGTCTACCTAGACCTACCTGAGACTAATAGCGAATAGATTCATTTGGGAGGGGAGTTGCACACAGTTGACGATAGCAATCTCCAAGTTATCGATAATTTTCACTTGGCATTGTCACGTACGTGATCTCAGATACCATGAAGTTCTATTTCTCCACCGATATTTGTGGGCATGCAGGTGAAGTAACGTGTTATCGATAAGAACACGCGATAGATATCTCATTCTGATTTCCCCGAGATATTTTCAGCACACTCCGAAATTTTTTCTCACCTCGCGAGGCAATGAGTCAGCCTTTCGTCGTGCGCGAATTGCAGATTTTCACGTTTCGTTTACTGGAATAAATTTTTAATCTCACGTTTCGTGCGTTACTATATTCCTGAGAATACAAATTACGGAGAAATCCGGGTAATGTATAACAAAGTCCTGCAAGATCTTTCGCATTGAAAGCGCGTTCGAAGTCGCGTTTCGAAGCTTCTTTTCTTGCCTTCTTTCTCAATAAAAATGTGAAGCAAGATGTTTATTCGTCGCAACTTCACCATTTCCAACTTGGGACTTCCCGACGAGCAAGTTCCAAAATGGAATTTCCGTTAAACTAAAGTTAATCCGTGGGGTGAAATTAACCAACAAACGGAGTTGCGTTCCGATCCATTTACACTCCCACTTGCACAAGCTTAATTCGCGAAAATCCTTTTCTAGTCTCGGCTCGAAGCATCTTTGTAAATAAGAGTTCCTTTTGTGTCTCTCTTTCTCTCTCTCTCTCTCTCTCTCTCTCTTTCTCTCTCTCTCTCTCTCTCTCTCCCTCCCTTTCTTTTTCGCATGCGTGCGAGCGCCTGCAAATATATCTCTCACGCGAATTTCGCGCGAGACAAACTTTGTCTAGAAAGAAAAGCAAAGAGGAAAAACGCTATGTTATGCTCGTCGGGAAATTATTCCGCTGGGGTGGTTTCTTTCTCGCGATATTCAGACGTATGTACGTTGCATACAATCGCAAGCGAGTGTCACTCTACGAAGGCAGATAACTCGTGTAGTAGCTTATCACTTTTAACCCGCAGCCCTAAACGCTTCCGTCCATGCCCCGTGGCGATTCGCTGCGGAATGAAAGGTGTGGTGTATACCAAGAGGGTGTACGGAGGATCGACGCATGCGTTCCATTTCCTCGTTGTCTACCTTCGTGGAGGCGCACAGCCACGTCCACCTACACGCTGTCGGAGTAGCGCGTATTCGCCTAGAGCGAGGTTGCTCGATGTGGGGGTGCGATAAAGAGAAAGAGAGAGATAGATAGAGAGAGAGAGAGAGAGAGAGAGAGGGAGAGAGAGAGGGGGGGAGAGAGAGAGAGAGAGAGACTGGCGGCGAAGATAGATAGATAGACAGATCGAGAGATAGATAAGGAGAGAGAAGAGCGCGGAGAGGGCCGGCGGGAGATCGAAGGGAGGAAAAGAGAGAGTTGGAGGCAGGGGAGGAAGAGAGAGAGAGAGAGAGAGAGAGAGAGAGAGAGAGAGAGAGAGAGAGAGAGAGAGAGAGGGATGGCAGATGATGTGGAGAGGAGGAGTGATCGTCGACTTCGGTGGGCGATCCGGAGCACCGTGCTTTCCTTCGGTCCGCTCTCAGTTTCAATCGCGCGCTCCGAGCTTGCTCCGAGAGCGCGAGACGAAAGTCGCGGTGATCGGTGATCGAAGCAGTTCCGTCATCGCGATCGATCGCGAGAAAACGTAACCGACGGCTCCTGTTTAGATCGCAGTGGTTCGACGAAAGGTCGACGAAATGATTATCTGGATAGATGAGCGAGCGACGAGATCGACTTGATCTCCCGACTTCGATCGATTCCCAAGCGGGGAGTTGTCCGCCATCGGTTGAACCCTTGGAGCGAGACCGGCTGTCTCCGCGTGACTCGCGTGCAACACGTGTCTCGTGATGGAATCGTAAATGAATGTCGAATGCATTCGGATATGGGAAACGAGCTGATCCTTCGGTGAAGCGACCGCTGGAGAACATCGTGCGGCGAATACGTGACAGTTACGGATAAATTACGACATCAGGCGGCACGATTCGATATACGTGGGTCTTTCTTGTCGTTGAAGGGACTGTCTAAGTCCGGTAAGGCCCGTGTACGCGCGATTTTTTCCCAGTCCCAGTCCGCGATAATGCGCCGAGACAGCTCGGGTTCGAAATTGTTCACTCGTGCGTGTGGCCGTCCACCGGCTCTTTCGACCGGAAAGCACGTGACATTTCTTCGCTGGACCAGGCGGCTTTTCCATCTATATGGAAAGCTCTGGATGTTCTTACGTCAATCGTCTGGTTCCTTGCCCGAAGACCCGATCTCGACTAACGCGCGCGAAGAGCGGCGCAAAAATTGGTGTTAATTGTCATAGAATCGTGAACTTTCTGGACGCAAAATTTCTTCGGGATATTTCTCGAAATTTGAATGGTCTCTCTTGTGGTGTATGTCCGTAAATTGTCACGAGTATCGTGATCTAAATGATATAGAGCAAAAGCGAGCGAGATTTGTGATTATTATCATGTGATAGATTTACGATGTGAGATTTATTCAAGTTAGATGATGCTATAAATTTGTAGGTGATTTATTATTACAGAATGTTACTTACGCACGGAGAAAATGTTTACTCGCGCGATAATCTCTGGTTCTTGTGAACGAAATTTAGTTCTGAAAGCCAGAAATTCTACTTCCTTCAATCAATTCTCTATGTATTCACTTATTTTTTAGTCGTAGCCCTATAATTGTGCCAAGCATCCAAAGAGTTTGAAATTTCTCGGCACAACTGTTTACGAACAACACGCTTGCAATTTGCAATTATCACAATTAACCCCGAGTGCTTGCATCGCGACTCGCGGAGGAGGGCCCGCGACTCCAATTTAGATCAAGACATCGGAATGCCCGCGCGCTTTCACGACATCGCGTGTCGCCGATGCGTATTTCCAGGGTCGCATTCAGGGTACGATACGACGATACGCCTAGTCGGCAATTTTGCAAATCGTCTTGCACTCGCGTGCTTCTTCTCAGCAACGCTAATCGTCGCGGCGCGAGAACGGGCGGACTGATCGCCATGCGAGTCATAAAAAGTCGCGCGCGGATGTTCCTCGTCACGCGCGGTGTTGACGAGAACAGCTGCTATGGTAATAAATTCCCAGGCTTTTGCCCTTTTTTCCTCCTCCCGACGCCGACTCATATCGGCAGCGGAAGCAAATATATTCCGTGTACACACAAGCTCGGTAACGCCTTTATCTCGCTCAGGATAGCCTTTTCTCAGTCGCGCCGCCGGCTGATGTCGGGAGCTTATTCGTTATGCGAATTTTATACGATCTCACGGTGCCGGTAAAGGCTTTAGAACAGTTCAGTCTCATCACGTGAGGGAAAGGATCAATTCGTGACTCTCATAATAAATAAAACAGAATCCGCGCGGAATTCGGAGCTTTGCTGTTGATGAACCTCGCGCCAGGCCAGGCAGAGTGTGCTGAATATTAGAGTAGCTGTTGTCGGCGCATTGAAAATGCGCGAGAACGAACGCACGGTTAAGGGAAAGTCGCCGGGTGTGTTTCAGTTCTCTCTCGTCTTCTGGGCATCGATCGACGTTTGGGTCCGTGCGGACGCGGTTAACGCGGCGAAGTAAAGTTTAATTCGCTCTCGCCAGTTAATTTAGCCGATGTATTTGAGTACAGTCTCAAGTTTGATTGAAATCCTCATCTTCGAGCGCGACGGCGATCGCGAACGATCCCCGACGTTGCGCATCTTCCATCCACCACTGCGATGCCTGCTTGTACGCGAACTCGATGCAATTTCGCGATGCAACGGCGTCGTAAAGGCTACGAGTCTGTTTAACAGCAGCCTGCGAAGGAATTAGGCCACGTGTGCCTTCCGTAGCTTCAACATAATTACGTAATTCGAAGATGCCGCCTCGGCGAACTCCTCGTCTCTCGACTGCAGTCCCTTTACTTTAAGTACCCGACGGATCCGTGTGATTTCGAAATGCGCGCTCGCGATCATCGGCGATTATCTGCGATCGAGTGAATTGGATCAGTAACTTTGTCAGCCTTGGGAGAACGCGATTACGAACTTTGTCCGATACGGCGTATTTTCCGACCTTGCGCTAAATCCCTAGCGAATCAGGCTTATTTGCGCTTTAATCCGAAATACTAAGGATTCTCTTGCGCGTCGATCGCAGCAAATCTCGTTCGATTTTCCTCGCGCGTCCACTAATTTTACGCGCTTCCGCGAGATGTGCCGAGGATTGACTGTGGGAACGATACACGGCCTCAGCACAATCGATTCGGGGGTTTGAATCGAAGTCCGTGCCTGGAAGAGAGTTAGGACGTCAGCCATAGCCGAGACTCGATGCGAGCGGAAAAACGCGCCAGCACTCCTTTAATCAAGAGTGGCGCGCTTTTTGCGTCACAGGTATTTCGTTCGTCTCCTTCGTTCGTTGCGAGTGAGTTTGCCTCGAAGGAGAGACCGAGCCCGTTACAAAAAGGAAAATAGCAAAAGCGAAATGTCGGCGTTATACGGTGACACCTATCTCGTTATTCCGTCGTAAGCAGCCGATTCGTATAGTTATTCGAGAAGCCCCGGATTGCATTCGTCGCGCATTGTATGGTAAATGCGGACACGTGTAAACGTTGGTGCGATTTCCCGTTCGAAAGGTACGTGTCTCGAATGAAAATGCGCACACACGCGCGCGCGCGCGCGCGAGCGAACGCACGCATATGCGCACGAAAATGGCACAGTGGCAGCCCGTTATACACTTTGTGAAGTGACGTATTCAGGAAACGAAGTACAAAGCGTACGGGTGAAAATGGTTATGGTCGAGTCGGGTTCGGAAAATGTCGGCAAGATTTCCACGGGTGTTAGTGCCATTATTCGTCTATTGGGACGAATCGTAAATAACTCCCGCCTCTCCCCTTCACAAAGTTATTTCCGCGCATCTGCGAGATATTGTTCAATAGATTGTCGAAAACGATTTGTGCTCTCCCCTCCGAGTGCTAACAGCTGATTGATCGACTTTTTCCGCGAGCGTTCGGAAAACAAAAATATTTGCTCTTTGTAACGAGTTTATAGGAAACCTCACGTTTTCCATTTTTTTTTCGGGAAAAAGATTGGAAGTGTTTTGATTAGCGAGACTTATATCAGATCAGATGTTTTCGGTAGTTACAGTTGCACAGAGTCCAGACTTGTTTTTCAAGAAGTTTTTCCCGTGAGCATTATACCCATCGTATATACGATACTTCTCGAGACCCTTTGTTCCTCTTGATGTAGTATCCGAGGGAGGTGTTTTAACTTTTTATGTTTACAGAACTTATATGTATTTTTGTATCTCGACGAATTATATAAATGCATATGTTAGTCCACGCACGAACCTCGTTATCAGACATTTGTCATCGTTTGTCGTTACAAGTAATCCGAAGACGTGTATTTCCAATTTCAAGATGGTACGCTTCGTAATCTCCTCCTTTTTCCAGAAGAATTTTCTAGCCAATCCGACGTATATACGACGACGTCGTATATATCGGAATCGCGCTGGAAGAAATTGTGTTTCGTTCCGCACGATACTGCGGTTAACCGGTTAGACAAATGGAAGATTTATCGCGATTTTCGGACACACACCGATCTGTACGTGTCTAATGCAAAGCACATTTAGAGCATTTTGCACCTGAAGCTCCGTGAATGTTATTCACGGGACGAATGTAAAAGAAGAGAAAAGGAAAAAAACGGGAGATGCTAGAACAGAAGAGAACAGTACAGAATAGAATTGTACAAGAAGCACGTCTTCGTATGATTGAAAAGTTAGGCGTTAGAATCTCGGTAGCAAAGTCGGGCTGGGAATTCGCCGGGCGTATGTCCCCGCGAAACTTCTTCGCTGGAGTTATTGCACAACCGGAAGCACAAACGGGTATTTACAAGAAGCCTCTGAGTGCTCCTCGCGATATCAGATATGTGCTTCAAGACGTCATATAACGAGTCATATGTCGAGAACGTTGAAAGATGACGGAACGTTTGCGAGTAGTCAGACACAGAAGTTTTAGATGTAGCCCGGCGCGACGGAGATACTAGAGAACCGCGAAGTTGAAGAGTATAAACTCTCGTCACGCCGCGCGGGATTATCTTACGGTTCCATATAACTCGGACATCGAATATTACCCGGCCGCTTTTTTTTTCGGCGAAGTCTTACACGTTATTAGAGACGGTTTTATTTCGGTTTCGTCGTGATTTTTGGGCGTGTTTCACAGGTCGTGTCTACCCCCGATCGTGTCTATCGTCAGAGCTTCATTTGAGCACATCGAACGACGATTGCCGGAGAGCCAATCATAATCGTAATTCCCCCGGGCGATATCGCATTCATGATTTTGCGATGCAATTCGGTCTGCGATTAATTTCCATCCCCCCGATTTTGCCGCGGTCTCCAACATCTCTCGTTTTCGCACAAGCACGATCACATTTTTTTCAGCGGTTATGACGATTCGATTAAAATCCACTTACAGGAGCACACGGCCCCCTCGGGAATTGCCATTGTAGTTCTCCGGTGTCGGAAATATTTACACGGACTGGTCGCGTCCGGGCGCCTTCGAGAGGAGAACGCAAGTTTCGCAACGGTCTTGATAAATCCCGTCAACCGTGATTTAATTAAACGACGCATTGCCCGGCAGTTGCTAATTAACTCGTCCGTCTGTCTGTTTGTGAATTCTCGATGATCGTTAATCCGCCGTTCTCTCCGCTTGAGTCACGACAAAGACGGCCCGTGAGACAATTGACGACGCGAATAGCGGAGCAGAAGTTGCAAATGCTGTTGTACAAAAACTACGGTCGCCCTCAAAGCACGTTTTCATTATTTGAGATTATATGCGGTACGCAATGAGTTCGAGACGTTTGAAATTTTTACGGCGGCCGTTGAGAAGCGAACCTCTGCGGATTTATGTCCACATTTTTCTCCTGACTGACCGTCTTCTTTCTAATTGCGATTTTATATCGAGTATTTATGTCTTTATATATTTATCAATTTCCTCGCTCGAGAACGCAAAGCTGAAACTCTTGATAGAATAACGCAGCGCATATAATGGCGATAATTGCAATCTGTATGCGATACAGCATGTAATTAGATCCTTTTTGGTCCACGTTATGCCATTATAATGTGATTAATATATTCACATCGTGTATAGTGCTTTGCACGAAGAATAGAGCAAATCGAATAATTTTAATGCGCGTCTAGTCGGAATTTTGCACATAACAGGATGGCAATTATGTTTGGTGTTGCTTATTAATTACACTTTGTTCGTCCGGTACGTGTCAATTAACTAGCAGATGCATGAGGGAATTATTAATGGGGGATGTTATAGCTCGATACACACATATTAGTAATAATATTTATGTGATGACTGATGTGGCCCACTCTCTCTCTCTCTCTCTCTCTCTCTCTCTCTCTCTCTCTCTCTCTCACTCTCCCATTCAGATCATATAAAAAGATACAATCTATACACTACGCCAAAACTACCGTTTTATTCTATTAATTAGTTTCAATTTCCGATAACTGGAAATTGAATGGAGATACTAATTACTTGATGCTCGCTATTGAAAAATGCGTGCATATATGTGCGCGCACGTGTGTGTATACATATACGTTAATTTGAAATTTCCGCTTCTCTCTTTTCGAGGAGCGAGAAGTGACGATATCCTTTAATGTACTTTGTTTCCGTTTTTTCCGCCCGTAGCATTTAGTTCTTGTTTCCGCAGAAGTTTATCTCGTTGCTTCGTGGATTTAACTAGCTCATCTTTTTTTCGCCACTGTTGCGATTGGATTTATACCACGGCAAGGAATTTTTCTATCTTTTCCTTTTCTCCTTAAAAACACTCGCAAATTACGAAAATTACGCCCACGGTTAATTATAAGTCTTTTTTATCTCGAAAGTTCGTCATTCAAATGGCAATACTCAGTAAATCGGCGAAACTTCAAACAGTTAAGGCTTGTTGAACGTGCCACTTGTTGCGATATTATGCTTCCGCATAACTTTATGAATATTCACTCAACTCCTCTGAATGCCAAAGCGCTCGCCCATTTCTGTTTTTATTCGACAACCTTACGTCAAGAATTGATTTATTCAAGACTAAGTTTTTGTATTCGTTTCAACTTTACCAGGTTTTACATTTCTATCAAAACCTTCCAGCATATATATTTTTTTTCTACCTAAAAGAAACTTCTCTCCGTTGTCGTGGTCTATATGAAACATTTAAATATTTCTTCGTACATTCGTGATATTTTGAACATTGATCCCCCCTTATTCGAGGACGTTCATTCAATATGAAATATCCCACTAACATATTTTGCATATCCTTTTAAAGCCCGTTCTTATTGATGCGTGGTTATCCGACTATAAGAATCGGGCTTAGTCGGCTCGGGTGCTCCCTCGATGGGTAGGTACCGCCCTTACAATTAAATTCGGATAAAGTCGACGCGCGAAGGGTGTGCTATTTGCTCCGACGAAGGAATCCTCGGTTCGATCGGTTCTTGCCTGTCGTGATTAATTCCCATTTTGGAAGGCATCCAAGCGGTAATTAAACCATTATCGGTTGTATTAGAAAGTTCGTAAGCATCGTTTCCACGCGTTCTTATCCACAATCGCGCGCAGTAAGTACAGATTGCGCGAGAGTAATCGCTCTACGTCGCCTTCAAGATCGATGAATGCGCGTGAGTGTGGAAGCTTATTGCGGATGCCCGTCGAAAGTTCGGTAATTATTCACTTATCGCAAAACAACTGTACCGCAAACTCCAACATATTATACTATGTCTACGTCACGTGGCTGAGATTCCGGAACGATACTCGGCGATATAAGTTGGCACTGTTGCTGATTGTTCAAAAAATTGCAAGAACTGTTAGTGACGGAGTCATCAACATATAATCGTGTAATTGATAGATATCATTCGAAACGACCTATGCTTCTCGACGGGTACTCGCATGCATTCTTATCGCGCGAAATTTATGCACAGAGTACATCTGCGCATTATTTCACAGATGTGTCGAGTGTCGAGTGTTGTTAATCCGATAATTTGGAAAGAAAAGCCGTTTCTAACGATCTTGTAAATAATTGCCGTTAATACGACTTGGAGAGAGATAGTAAAATTTTCACAAATAGACGAAACGTGATCCACGTTTCCTATCACAAAGTTATAAACATTCAATGCTTCCTTGAACAAATTTTATTATTGGTACTCGACGCATCTCTGCGGATTAATTAGTGCATCGAAATTAGTGCGCGCAAAAAGAACGCATTTGTAAATATGTCTCAACAGGCGATAGATGAGATATTAAAAGTAGACGAGTAGACGAACGAGAGAAGCCCGTTGGATCGCGCGGAATATAAATCTGCTTCCGTATTGACTTTTTTGCTGTACGACGAAAAACTATGAATGAGATCCCGGGACGAGTCGCGTATTATTCCCTGAATTTATATTTCGTGAAACACATAAGTATCGCCGCCGAGTTGGATTACACGTCTCTCACCATAGCAGCTGTGACTTAAAAGCCACGCAAACGTGCGTATATCGCGCGACTCGAAGAAATCTTGACGTGCACGGTCACGTATCCGTTCGCCCGACTGTAATAACATTCTTCCATCCCTAATTCAGAGGCGTTGTTTCTCCTTTCGCGCGCGCGCGCCTCGTACCGAAAAGCCGACGTGACAACCAAGGAAAGCGGAGAGCGAAAAAGACGTTGCCTGTTTCATTACATTTTCGAGGAGTGAAAGGTCTGTCGCCGGCTTTTCAGGCTACGTTGTTTCATTCGACACAGGAATGTCGTCGGCAAACTCACGACGGGGCTTGTGCTTTGCAATTTGCTGGAGCGACTCGATTAATCTCTTCATTATCTCGCCATGGTACTCGATTAAGCTATGTTGAATTCTAAGTGCATTGGATCGATCAAAGACCGATGATTCGAGAGTGAATCTGACGAAAATATCGGACGCATGACACGTCGAATGCACATGAGTGAGAGTCCCGTTTGACCGCGATGAGCGACCTCGCGATGAGCGAGCGGAGTCATGGTGTGCTCGGGATTTCTAATAATTAGCGACACGACAGAAATCTTAAGGAAACCTTCGATCACGGGGTGTTACCTGACGCTTCGACGTCGTGGAAGAGGTATCGCGTACGCGAGTTTCCTCGGAGACGGAGACACCAACACGATTATCCGTATCGGACTGTTGACGCAAAACGCGACTTTTGTCAGACGTGACTCGTTGGATGTGACGAACATCGCAGTCGCGTCACCCCAGACTCGAATGCGCCTAGAAATGCCCCGGGTGAGGTCGAAAAGAAACTAAAATGTGGAGGTAAGCCGGCCAGGTGGGCGTAAACATTCGCGAGTGACTCGCCTTCGAGTCGACCGCGAGTCGGGAAGATGCGGCGCGACGTGTAATCGTCAGCCGGACGACAGTTTCGACGACAACAAGGAGGTCCGCGACGATGGCATCGCGGACGAGAAAGTGGTGTTTCGCGAGTGGTGTCTTGGTGCGGCTGACACTGACTTTATCGGGCTTGTGCGCCAGTCGTTGCGCCGTGACGATGCCGAGCGCGAAGGAGTGTAACAGCGCGTTGGTGCAGCCCAAGGGCGAGGTGAGGCTGGCGGTGATCGCACCTGGCGACCCTCACCATGAACAGAGTCTGCCGAGAGTGTTGCCGGCGGTGCTGTTGGCGGTGAGATCCGTCAGCTCGCCCAAGGGACCCCTACCGGGATGGAAGATCAAGGTGGACCATCGTGACTCGCAATGCTCCAGCATTTACGGGCCCCTGGCCGCATTCGACTTCTACGTGAACCAGACAGCAGGTCGCACGATGCGTTTTTCTCACCCGCCCACCTCCTTCTCCTCCTCGTTTCTTTTTGTTCTCACTTTCGCTTCCTTCTCGCCTTTTTTCGCGTTTTTCCGCCGTAACGTAATCGAGAGCACTCGCATGGGACGCGTGCATGCGAAGCGCGGTTTTGTTCTTTGAGGAGAGCTTCCAACGCAAAGTTTGCACGCTCTACTTTAGACACTTTGGTGATCTCTCTCTCTCTCTCTCTCTCTCTCTCTCTCTCTCTCTCTCTCTCTCTCTCTCTCTCTCTCTCTCTCTCTCTCTCTCTCTAGACGGGCCACACGGTGCTCAATGTTTCATAGCCAAGGAATTTTGAGCTCGTACGACGATTCGGAAAAAATATATTCGCCTCATGAAACGCGTTTGAAAAGATAATCGCCTTCAAGATCGTACAAATTCGTCGGAATTCTCGATTACGTTCGGTGAGTATTCGATGTGAAATCTCGCCACTTTTTATCACCCGTCGCATTTCACTAACTCTCTCACGCTGTACCTTCCCGTCTAATCGAATGACTTGCGAAATGCAAACTCCCGAACACATTCGTAACAGCGCGCTATTTGCACGCGTGCATTTTTCAAGGAACACGTACTCATCGACGGTTGCGATCTGATCCGATTTCCTCGATCAGCTTCTCTGCTCGATCTGCTGTGCGAGCGACGTTCCGTGTGAATTTCAAGACAAATCGCAGTTTAAGAGTTCCCAACGAGTTGGACAAATCGCGCGCTGGTTACGCCGACGTGGAAACACACGCCACGGCGCAAATAATGCACGAAATATCGCGCGTCAAGTCGGGAGGCCCATACATCAAGAAAAGCGATCCGCAAAGTTGTTTACGTTCGTTGTAGCCCGAGCCCGTCACGAAATACGGCCAGACGAAGCTCGACGTATTCGCACAGTCAGCTGGCTCTTGCGCCCACGTCAGGCGTAGTGCGACGTTAAGTTATTTATCGTGAGCGTCAAACTTTTCAAAAACGTGAAATGTAAGTTGGCCAACAAGACTTGGCCATACACACACACACACACACACACACACACACACATACACACGCATACATCATCGTCATTTCTTCAAGAGTCCATTGGCGTTTTTAGGGTTAGGTGTCCGAAAGTCGATTGTCGAGATACAGAGCGAGAGCGAGAGAGAGAGAGAGAGAGAGAGAGAGAGAGAGAGAAAGAGTGTATGTGTGTGTGTGTGTGTGTGTGTGTGTGTGTGTGTGTGTGAAAAAGGGGAGAAAGCAGGATGCGAAAAATACTCTTGGTGTGCTCAACGCGGCTTAATTTCCTACGGAAACGTCGATAAATCGTTCGTCGAGACTTGCGATTTCTGCTTGCACGCTCTATCGCGCGATCCTCTTGCCTTGCTCCGACTACGGAAAGCGGATTAGTCGGAGTCGTATGCACGGGCCAGGATAATTAATCCACTTGTCGGCCGGTGGAATTCGAGAATCTTCCTGCGCGTACCCGGATATGTGTAACAAGCGGATTTTACCTTTATCGCATCCGTACAGACGCTTCGTTCGGACGAAAATGAACCAAGAGGGATGAAGCCAAACAAACGTGTGTGCGTACAATCAGCGACGGGGGTGCGAGAGGTGGCTGAGAGCGGGAGGAGCGAAAATTCGCGTGTTATTTATAAAGGATATTAGCTGCGCGTGTCAAGAGACACGGCGTTTTAATGCTAAAATGAGAAACGGGCTTGTATCTGCTGTCGCGATGAAAACTGTCGCGTGCGCGAAATAAAATCCCTCGCGTCCTCGCTCTCGTGAGAGAGCTCGGAAAAGTTTGTTAATCATGCCGCGCGCGCTTCCGTCCGCTCGCGGATTCCGAAATATCGCTGAATATTCTAGATACCTTCCATGAGCGTGTTATTATTATATCGAGGATACACATGAGAGCGGGAAATCGCAGTTATCAAGGAAAATACGGTAAAACTGCGCGCTGTTGTTCTCGCGCTCGTGCGCTCTCATGAGCTCATACGCACAGACTCGTGCGCGCGATGCTTTCAATTCGATCGGTTATTAGCGCGTTCGCGGCTAAACAAATTCGCGCGGTCAACCGACGGTCGATAGCCCGGCTGGAAGGCGGATGATGGAGCGTATATATATTCGCGATACTTTCGGAACACGCTGATTGCGATGTGCACTTTTGCCAACTTCCGACGTTGGCTGTTAATTGAGTTTATACAGCGATCACTTGCCGCCTCCCGTTTTCCACCCGGCGAAGCGTAGATCGCTGATCTCGAGTAGATTGAAATCGGGGGCAGAAAATGTTGAGCGAACGGTGTTGCATCGCGTCGCGTCGCTTCGCGTGCGAGAACGGCACATCGACCCTGCAGATTCATGCGTCGTCGTCGTAATCGTCGTCGCCATGAATTCCAAGGATCGCGCCTTTCCATGCTCGGCGGTGAAGTTCTCGCCGCCGCGCTCCGCGGCCGTGTGTCGCGCATCATTACGCCAATTAATCTCCGACGATGTCCCTCTGAGGGTCCCGCGCTGATGCCGTGCGCTGCCGTTTTAATTGGGCCCTGGCCCGTCGTTATAGAACCACGGCACCCAGCGTCTTGCAGCCGTCTTGGTAGAAACGTGCCTATTTTTACGAGGGGCTGACGTCAGCCTGTACTGCTGTGTCAATTTGCAGCTGCAAACCGTCGAGCGAGCTGCCGCGCAACGACGACGACGGTGACGACGAATACGAGAGCGGCGACGACGGCGACGACGACGACGACGACGACGACGACGATGACGATGACGATGACGATGACGATCGTCTCTCGCCGGTCAGTCAACCAAAGCCGACTCGTCCCGTCTTTTTTCTCGTTGATTCCCCTCCTCACATCTGGAGTCCGTTAAGTGCCACTTTAATTCGGCTTAATTAGTCCCGTCGTGTCGGTGGCTCGCTCTTCTCTTCGAATTAATTGACCTCGTGCCCTCCGCTACGCTCTCCTCGTAAGCGAATCATTTACTTTCTCAGGAGCGCGTGCGATCGCCGATGAAAAATGTCTCGTTTCTGTCCGCGGAACGAGTTTATGCGTTAATGGGACGGAATTCGACGCCGCGTCGCGCTTTCGCCGATCTTTCTTCTTCCCGCGATATCGGCCGGAAATTTCAAGATTCGCGTAAACGGGCGGCCGAGAACCTCTATGATTGATTGCTCGTCGATAACGAGAATTCATTATGTGGACACTGTGGATGAGACGGTTTCCGGACGGCTTTTTCTTTCGGTATTTTATCAATAGTCTATTATAGTTTTAATTTTTACCAGCGCAGCGATATTCCTACAAGTTTAATGCGACTCGCTCTTACTTTCGGTCTCAGTGCGAAATCCACGAAAATACTTACAATTGAGCGTTATCCGCCGGGGGAATTACCACTGGGAGTTCTCTCTCGAGTGTTGAGATGTACTAGCCGTTACGTATCATCCTGCCTTCGATTTCAATTATTAAACTTATCGAAGAGAAGTTTCAAGCGGATTAACTCGGTCCATTGACGGAAGTCCAACTCGCAATTGCTGTAATCTTTCTGTTCTTTCCGACTCGCACTAGTTCCCTTCTTTTTCCTGTACACATGGATGTTACTACATTTTCGTTAAAAAATTGAAATTTCGTTAAAATTTCGGAAAGCGAAGAAGCGCAAATATAGCGCGGTAATTTTAGAACGGTTTCAAACATATTTTTGAGACAGACGATGTGTTAAAGAACTGTTTTAATTAAATTATTATTTATCTAATCAAAATGTCGTTCAAAATGTATTATAATTGGTCCGCTCGGTGCGTTCGCAGCAGCTGAGGATCGCCGCGCTGCCGGTGCGCGTTCCCGACGGGATTATTATTCATGACGACACTTTGCAAAATGCGCCGGTAAATAACGACCGGCTCGTAAAAGCCGGGCTACGTAGCGTTTTATCTGACCACCGTGACACTACGATAACGCGATGATACACTAAAGTCTAAATTAGTCATTCACCTGTTGATCGCGTTAGCCCGATCTCCGTGGATGACCGTTTACGTTTAACGCACTCTACGGGACTCTTTCGACGACTTTGCAGTCCTCAAAGGAACGCGGTAGACGGTTATCCCTCTTATTTCCCAAGCGCGTTGCATTCATTGCGAGTGAGTAATTCGTCGCGTACGAACTCTATGATTATTCATGATCCCTCCGACGACCCGAGGTCGACCGCGCATTTCAAGGCTCAGTGAGCTTTCGCTGGAAGGGAGGAAATTTGTTCTCGCGCTCGCGCGAGCTTGCGTCTCGCGAAGAAGACGCGTGCGCGCGTTTGTGTGCAGATAGGTTCTGCATAAATTATGCGATAAGAGGTCGCGTTCACAAGATGCGGTAAACGTATTCGTTTTCTTACGGCGAAGCTTTTTCGCAGTCGTTACGACGGCCACGAGAGTAGCGGAGCTTCAACATAAATTCCTCTCGCAGTCGCATTCCTCTTTTTTCTTTTTCTTTCCTCCCTCCCCCCCCCTCTCTCTCTCTCTTTCTAAATATATATATATATATATATGTATTTATTTTTTTACTTTATCACTGGCGAAGAGAGTGGTCTCCCGATGGTCGAGCTCGTCGATTATCGCGAAAATAACGAGATTTCGCGTCGTTCGTCAAATCAGCGAAAGAAATCTCTCGTTGAATAAATCGAGGCGCACGCCCGATATTTTTCCACTTGGCGAATTAGCTCGTGGTTCACCGGACAATATCGATCTTCGCTTATAAATATTCATGCCGTACGATTTTGCGTTATCACATGGTTTCACGAGATTAACGTCCATAGATATTGCGTGTTTATTCCGTTTAATTGCGATCTCGTAGAAATGAATAGATTCGTCAGCGACGCGCTGTGTTTCAGCCGTCGGGATTTTCGAGATACACGATACTTCCTTTGTCCACATTATAAATACTAATCGAAATGATACTTGCGCAGTTTTTCATAGTTAATAGTCGCACGACCAAAGTCGATGCTACGCATCGCGGT